AGGAGTTCAAGACCAGTCTGGGCAACATAGCAAGACCCTATTCTACAAAAAAATAAAAAATAAAAAATTAGCCAGGCATGGTGGTACCTGTAGTCCTAGCTACTCAGGAGGCTGAAGGGGAAGAATGCTTAAGCCCAGGAGTTTGAAGATGCAGTGAGTTATGATCACACCAACCTGGGCAATAGAGTGAGACTTTGTCTAAAAATAATAATGATGGATGGTACTACTCATAATAATAGTTCCAGTGTGATTCCTACTGTGTGGGCAAGATAAAACTTGTCTGGAAGCTGAGTTGGAATTGTGGATCAATAATGTGCATATGATGGATGGATTACTATATTGGGGGAGAAGTTTGATGCAAAGAATGCTGAGATTCCTTCCAATTAGAAGATTCTAGGGTTCTGCTGTTTCACTTAGGAATGAGGCACTCAGAGCCTGGACTTGGAAGGGGATAGCGGGCGTGGGAAGAAGGTACAGATTAGAGAGAGACTAAAAGAGATGAATAATAACACTACATTTCTACACTAAGTTTATATGGTCTACAGAGTTTGTTGCTGGAAACATGATAGGCCCCCAGAAGTTAGTGTCTGAAGTCAGATTACCTGTGTTCAGATCTCAGGTCTACAATTTATATTATCTGTGAGTCCTTGAACAAATCACCAAACCGCAGCCAGCCTCAGTCTTTCAAGCACTAAAAAGGAATGATGTTAATAATATCACCTCCCTCTCTAGGGTGAGTCTTTCTCACATGACACCACCCTGACCCACTCTTCTGCCTTCCTTTTCCACTTTTAAGAACTCATGTGTTTAGATTGGGCCCACCTAGGTAATTTCATGAGAATATTCACCTATCATGGTCCTTAATTTCATCACATCTGCAAAGTTGTTGGCAGATTGAATTAACAAAATATGTTTGAAGTCCTTCATGTGTTAAGCTTGGGTCACAGGAAGCACTGATCAATGCTTGCTATTTCTATCGTGACACATGCATTCTCTTTTGAATCCTTACAACAGCCCCATGTTACAGTGAGAAGACTGTCTGGAATGCAGTGACTGGATATGGAGTTAGGAGCAATGGCCAGAGTGTTAGCATCTTGGTTTGTAGACTCAGCTCTATTATTAAAACTAACTCTGTTTCTGGGCCCTTCACTCAACCTCTGTGGGTTTTTTCTCATAAAGCATGGCTCCTTACAACTCATATTCTCCATAATTTTTGGAAACAGGATATCTGAGTATGGTAGAAAGGATAATGACTCCCCAAATATGTCACTGTCTTAATCTCTGGAACCTATAAATATGTTACTTTACATGGCAAAAGGGACTTTGCAGATGTGATTAGAATTAAAGGCCATGAGATGAGGAGATTATCACAGATTACCTAGGTGAGCATAATAGAATCACACCAGTTCTTAAAAGTGGAAGAAGAAATCAGAAGATTGAGTCAGAGGGATGCCATCCAAGAAGGACTCTCCTGCCCTGTTCCATTGTGGCTGACTTTGAAGATGGAGGAATGGGCATGAGCCAAGAAATGTGGGCAGCTTCTAGATTCTGGGAATGGACCTCAAGTTATAGCCAGCAAGAAAATAAGGATCTTGGTCCCATAACCACAAGGAGCTGAATTCTGCCTATCTGGAATAATCAGAAAACAGAGTCTCCCCTAGAGCTTCCAAGAAGAAATGCAGCCTGTCATCACCATCATCCTTGATTTTAGCCTGGACTGGTGAGTCCATAATGGACTTCTGACCTACAGAACTCAAGATAATAAATATGTGTTTTAAGCCACTAGGTTCTTAGTAATTTGTTACAGCAGCAATAGGAAACTAGTACACTGACGTTCCAACTTAAATATTTGGCTGGTGTTATCAGCAGTACCATTGAGTTCAGGAACTGATCAAGTGTGGACATGATGTAGGGTAATGAGGGTTGAGTTCTTGGAGAGGCGATGACAGTGGGATGTTGACATGGCAGGGCTCAAACTACACTTGGCCACATGGGACTGAAGTCTGAGAAGCAGTGGCAGTAACTTTGAAAACAAAGTACCTGGGAGACAATGGAGATAGAGACTCCATCAAGGGGGCCGAGCTTCTTGAGTTTCTAGTTCCTCTGGATCTGTTTGGCCTCCATTCAAAGATGAGGTATGCCAGATTCCTGCTTATCATAATTGGAATATATGGACTTGGTTTAAAAAATTCACCAGGGAATCACACTAAGTAAATTTTATAAACACATCACAATAATTTAATTTAATGACTTCAATGGAGACTTCCATAAATGAATAATGCTTAAATTTGCTCTTTGTAGGTTTCCAAAGGAAAATCTGAAAATTTTAAATGTTTTTCCTTTCTTTGTTTATGAATCTTTTTAACAATGGAAATGTTTTGTCTCCTAAGAGTGGCATGGAACTCAAATATATGACTCACTGGAAATGACGACCACCTCTTTGGTTATAACAAATGGGAAGCAAGTTAGGCGAGGGCCCAAGAGAAACATAAGCTGGTTTTCAGGAAAGTGCAAGGCCTGTGGGGATAGATATCTCTAGGTTGGACCAGGAATGATGTTGAGCATTGTAAAGACAGACAGTAAAAGTAAATGTGTGTTAGTCACTGAGCTATTTGGTTCCTAAAAGAAAAAGAAATGTCAAAAAAAAACAAAAACAAAAACAGGCAATAGTCATTTAAAAGTCTCTAGCTTCGTCAAAGTATATCACTGTCTCTTCTGTCCAGAGCTCCCGGGAGCCCTGGGGTTCTATGATGGAGAAGATAGCGCTAGCCCCCATTCACATTTGATCAAGTTTTTTCTCTTGATTGGGAGTCCATGCCTATCAAACCTGACTACTCAGGTATGGTAGACTAGTTTTGTGGATTTCCCAAGAAACTTCTGTATCTGCTCTGGCTCTCCTCTTACCTTTGAGTTGCCCATTTCCTCTAATAGCTAAGAAAGAGGTGAAACTCTAATCAGCCCGTTTCCCTGTGTGTACACCGCTCTGGTCAAAAGATTCAGCAATGGAGAAAGTTGGAACCATTGGTGCCTATGGTCAGCTGCTGGGCAAAATTGTAAAAGCAGTAGTAATTAGCCTCTGTTGTGCTTCCACATCACTCTCCATCCCTCTTCTCTAGTAGTCAGCTCTTCTCCAGTGCCTTCATCTTGCTCTCTGCCTTTGCCATGTACCTGCCCCCCAACTTCACTTGCCCACACTGACAAGTATCATTCTCAGAGTAGCCCATATTGAACGTTGATCTTCCCCAGTGCTTTTCCACAGTGCCCTATGGTATGATAGCTCTTGACTAGATGATCAGACGGATTCAGCCAATTCGAATGAACTCATACTAAAATGTGAATGACTAATTGTCTCTTAGTGCTCTTAAGAATATGTTTTAAATTAAGTCTTTAAAAATTAACTCAACAGACTCTTTAATTGGTGAAATATTAAAGTTGCATGAGGGATATATTGAAGAAGAGAGACTGAGGAAGAAGTAATTGCCACTAAATTAGGGCACCAATGTACCGAACTACTTGTCTACATTTGCTTTGTTGGCTGCAGGGTAATTGGGTAACTTGAGTACTCATTCAGTCCTGCTGTCAAGCAGAACTATGATTTCAGTTATCTCAGAAATAATCAGTATCCAGAAAATAATCAGTAACCTACCATCATTTCAGGAAAAATAGGCTACTAGAGGCTACTAGGTATATTTCACTGCACAATTTCCAAACATACTTATTCTTTCCTAGTAATTGTATCTCAGTATATCACTATGAAAATTACTATTCCTTTGTAATTAAAAATATTTAAGTTTATAAGATAACACCCCATGTGGGTGAGGGTTTGGAGAAGTAACACTCTCAAAGTGTAGTATAAATTGATTCAAGTTTTCTATAGGGCATTTTGACAATTAAAATTCAAGACATTTCTGGGGAAAAAATAGTCAAGTATGTATGCAAAAATTTAGCCAAAAGGATTTATTGCAGCATTGTTTTATAATCATGAAAAATTGTACACACCAAAATGTCCATTAAAAGGAAATTTGTTATATAGATACATTATAGATCCAATCATTGAAATGTTATGTAGGCATCACAAATGGTTTTGTAGAAAACAGTTTAATGATATGGAACAATTTCCATAAGAAAAATTGGGATATAAATATTATGTGTGATATAATCCTTATCATACATACACATACACACACATATACATATACACATAGAAAAGAATAGTTGCTAACATGTTAATGTCATTTTTCTCTGTGTCATGAAATTATAGGAGGTTTTTATTTTTTATCTGTAATTTCCAAAGTTTCTCCAATAAGCATGTATTATTTTTCATAGAGAAAAATAAAGAATTATTTCCCTTTTAAGGGATCTGAGCATTTTCCCAAAATAAATAACTCAACAGCTCTTGTAGTTTGTATATCCAGAGATGTCTGATCTAGTTGAACTCATAGAAGTGGATTAATAGATGTAAAGTCTATGCTAGCCAACAACTGAAGTTTTTAGTCAATACTTTTAGTTTGAAATATGCTGAACTATTCTATAACAAAATATATGGAGCACCATCAACAGTTCAAAATTGGAAGGATTGCTTCACCAGAGATAGGTCTTTTTGGAGAACTGAAAAGAAGTACTGATTAGGATGTTGAAAATAATAGTAAATTAACATACTGCCCTCTTTTGGTAGCTATTTGTCATTTAGTTTGCACTCTCGCCCATTAAAGATGTTAATCTACAAATTTGTGCCTAAACTAAACTAATTTTCTTTTGTTTTCAAAATCAACAGCATTATATACATTTGAGGTTTATAACAGGTGTTATGGGACACATAAGGATAGTAAAATGGTTTCAATAGTGAAGCAGATTACCATATTTATTTCACATACTTTTTGGTGTGTGGTAAGAGTAGCTAAAATCTACTTATTTAACAAAAATTCCTAATATAATTCAATTTTATTGACTTTAGTTCTCATGAAATTAAATTAATTTTAAATTGCCTTTTTTCTCAACAGAAAATGCTGATAATTCCAGTTTATCGCCATCTGGTAAGACTGTTTTTTTATGACTTTGAAGAATTTTAGGACAATATTATTCTGTTAAGTTCTCCATGAAACATGGCATGTAATCAGGTTCATCAAAATTGTTTTCAAACTCCAAGAAGCTTAATTAAATTATGTCATTAAGTCTACATCGGAAAATCAATAGCAAACGGACAAGAGAACAGGCATATTGATTCTTCCATATTGCTGGACAAAGCCAGAGAATAAATCACTGGGAAGAAAATTGTAGGTTTTCATTACGGTAATTGCTTAAGTTCATCAGTTATTTTTTGTCTTCTAGTTTACACGTCTTCTGAAGAGTATTGAGAACATAAACATGCCAAGGTTTTTATATTTAAGGATTGACATGGTAAACACACTTCCTCGGTTTCCCCAGTGAAAGAATAGTTTTGGGAAGGCAAATAAATTAAAGAGAAATTATAACTAGAACCCATTTTGACAGAAACCAGGAAAGAACATGAATTCAAGACTACTAGCTGGAATGGAACCTTAGGGATACGGTGGCCCAGCCCTATCCCTTGGCTAATGAGATGATGAAGTCTGGAGTAGCTGAGTGACTTGTCTAAGACCACACAGCTTCTTGATCTTATAGAGGAGCACCAATCATATAGAGGCAGCACATGGCTTCTCTGACTTCTACTTCTGTATTCTTTCTGGTACACCATATATTCCAGAACAATCTTTTATGGTAAGGAGTGAATCAACTCACATTCTATCCTTAGTTGTGTGAAAATGAGCTTCTACTGTTATCAATTGATTTATTTAAATCAAATTCATCATAATAACTATTGCTTCTCATGTACATACTATGTACCTGGAAGTCTTCAAACATCTTCTCAATCTTACAGCGTAGGAATCATTATATTCATGTTATAGATGAAGAAACTGAGACTCAGAGAGGATAAAACTTGCTGATGTTCACACATTCTCTGGACCCAGGCTACTTGGGTTTGACTTTGGCCACCACCCTCCCACTCTTGTTGCTAGATGTGTGATTTTGGACACATTCCTTAACTTTTCTGTGCCTCAGTTTCCTCATCTGTAACAGAATAACAGTACGTACTTCATCAGGTAGTTGTGAAGATGAAATTAGATAACACATGTGCCTTGGACAGATTAATTCTTGATAAGTAGTAACTATTATTATGAGTTATTAAGTAATGGGGCAAAGATTCAAACCCAGGACTGCAAGCCTCCAAAGTCCAAGCTGTTTTTACCATGCTAATTTGTTCCCTAGTTGTTAAGCTTCTAGGGCACAAGAAACCACTATTTTTCTTCTGATAAAATAACCTTCAGCAAACTAAATCATGCTGATAACTACAAAACCTTGTTTGTGTGGAATGGGGAATAGGGCCTTGGGGACACACACTGGTTCTAGTCACAGCCTGAGTTCCAGGTGCCCTAGGAGAGAGCTGTGTGAACAGTAAGGTAGGAGCCAGTATAGTATCGACGGATGGGCAGCTGTGCCCACAGGCCTCTTCTTTGCAGTGTCACTATTCATTAGCACGTAGGAGAATTAATAATCATTAATTAAAAACCAACTTTGGCCAATTATTTTGTTCTGCCCTAAGAGCAAAGGATTCTATATCCACGCTTCAAATCTTATTGCTCGGGAACTGCCTTCTCAAGAAATAGCCTTAGTAATTAAAAAAATAAATAAATGTAGTGAATGACAAATATGGAAGCAATAATGTGGACAGACAGGGTGTGTGTGTTTCAGCCAACGCATGAGCAGTCTAAGACGGACAGGCCAGCCAAGTGCCTTGACACACCCAAGTTTTATCCATACCGGCTGAAAATCAGGCTCCCTACGACAAAACTTATTTAAGTTATAAAATGTTTCAGTTTGCTTTTCCTATGTTTAGGTAGAGGTCAAGCCATTGGATCTTTTTAATATTTAAACAAGCAAAATGTGTGTAGTAGATTGACCTCTTAGCGTAAGTGGAGTCATTCCACAGGAAATTTATAATATGATTGATTGTCTTAATAGCAGCCATATTTTTAAAATAACTTACCAGGAAATTGTGTTAGGTAGCACAGTATTGAGTGGTAGCATATTTTTTTAATCCTAAATTCACTGTGGGAAGTGTTGCTGGACATTATTATACCAGAATGGCGCCAGCATGCCAATGTATTTAGTGATTATAGTTCAACAAATTCTTTAAAATGTTTTCTAGAACTCTCTGATTGAAAAAAATGTTTAAGTAGCAGTTCTTGTATTTTGGTTTGGTCCAAACGTATTGCCATGATATTCCATAGGTAGCAGCAGTCTTTGTGATCATGGGTCATAGGTTCCTCATCTTGGGTTGTTTCTCTGCAGTTCTCTGATTAAATGTATACTCATTGAGTGATCATGGGACCTGCAGATTTAACTACATCTTGGTCTGCTAGCATATTTTCTATTCCTTTTCTTAACTATATCTCAAAAGTTCTAACTGTTTAAAATTTAATAAATAATTGTTTCAAGTATTTATTTAATTTTTTTTTCTCCCACAGCTGAACCATCTCTTGTTGGTTTTGTCCCCTACTCCAATGGTACTCCAGGCAAGATTTTGAAAAAAAAATTAAACCTAGATTTACCCAATTTGTTAAGTTTTTGTTTTAATTATACCTTTGTATTGTTTTTCTTCTCGGCATAAAAAGAGGTTGAAACAACAAGCCTCAATGGTAAGAATTTTTCTGAAGCAAGTGAAAATTGATAACCCTTCATATGAATATAAGTATAATGAATGGTGTTGAAGGTTTCCATTTCTAAATTATTTCTGAATACATCGAGTAGTTTCAAATAACCAAAAAACAAAACAAAACAAAAAACAAAACTTGTCAGCCCTGGAGAATGACCTATATACTTTAGGGTAAAATGATAAAAATCTTATGATCATGGAGGGAAAAAAGCCCTCCATCACTCTAACTCTCCAGAAAAGAAAAAGAAGTATTAATCCCATTTTGAATACTCCATTTCCCTTGCCCAGTAAACTATGCCAACAAATTTTACATGACAGATTGTTTAAATGTGAAAAGCACATCTAGTGACTTTAGTATGATTCAGTGTGGATTTGGAGGGACAGAGCATTCAAAAACAGCCTTTTTTACAGATAATTGTATCAATTTTAAATAGTGTGAAGTGGAAAAAGAATGGCTTCTTCCTCATACTAGAGAAAAGGGCAAAGAAGCAGGCTATATTCTGGAGAGGTGGGTGGAGCAGCACATCCTGTTCCCTCCCCTCTGTGGATACTGGGTAGGCAGCCTTCCTTCCATTTTGTTGGGGTCAAACCCCAACACTTCGCAAGCCCTTAGTTAAAATCAAATCTCACCATGTAGTTGATGGTTAAGGAGCTAAACAATCATTGGTACAGCTCATGTTGATCAAAACTGACTTAAATTCATATTTGGCCTAGTGGGAAGGGACAAACATCATTTTTACGTGCAATTACTTTTTTATAGTGAAAAGAATATTTTCAATTTAGCTTTGGCAACATTTTTTGTATCCCTGTGTGTGTGTGATAATATAATACATGCCTTTTGGTTTTTTCCTAAAATGTCATGTTGAATAATAAATCCTAGAATGATTTTCATTTAAAGAAATATGAATAAAATCTATTTTAAATCAAACAGGATCAAAATAAGATTCTCTTAAAAGTTAGTTGAATATCATGTTCAGGAACTCCAGATTTAAGCTAGAATTATTTAAAATTGCTTCATAAGATTGTACCACTGGTAAAAATGTATTGTGCATCCACAGGGCTTTATATTAAAGTCAGTATTAACATTGGGAATATCATATCCCTTAGGGACTTTCATTATAATAGAGAAAAAAGGGAGAAAATGTTCAACAACATAAATGCATTTATTTAAATCTACTGGTGATAGAAGTGTCGCTATGTATTAGACACAAAACTTGCATTTAGGAAATATACTTTGGATGAATGGACCGCTGCTCAAGAATTTTCTCTGGGGTTGGAGAATGGATAGTGGTGAGGGGATGGGCAGCAAAGATATTTAGTAGTGTCAGTTGGCTTTCACAAAACAAGGGAAAAGGGAAGTGTTTAAGGAACCTAGGAAGACACATGTGTTTATTAACCATGCCAGTAGTTATGCTAATTTTTATTATTTTATTTCAGATGCTACTGTAAGCGTATTAACTACTTTAAATAAAACAGGTAATATCAAGTTATTTCTAAATGTAATAATTTCTCTTCTGTGGCTTCTTGTGTGGTCTCCTTGGTTACTAACGAGTTTTCCTTCGTCTCCCTGCCCACTGTCCTGTGCCTTCAACCACTGATTTGTGATCCCTTTTACTTTGACATTGAACTACAATTTTGCTGACACCACATTCCCAATGTTCCAAACTGTTATTTAAAATCACATTTATTATTTTTAATTATAATAGTAATACATATTAGCTTATAAAATGGAGAATATTGAGAAATACAAAGAAGAAAATACAAATCATCTTTAATGTTGCTTTCCTAAGACCATTACTATTAATAATTTGGTACATTTCCATTCAGTATCATATATACATATACCTATATACATATTCTGTACTCTATGTATATATATATCCTTTGCAAAATAGTCATAGTTTACATAGATTTTTATATTTTGACCCTTTGACTTAATATTAAATTAGAAGTATTTTCCAGTGTCCCTTACAATTAATGACTTGGTAGTATTCCATTGTGTACCATTTGTTGAACATTAAAGTTGTTTCTATCTTTTTAATAGAAGTTGTTGCAATCAGCATCCTGGTGCCAACATCTTTGTATTCATCTCTGGTTTCTGTAGGATACATTCCAAGGATTGGACATAATGGGTCAGCAGTATGAATATTTTAAGGCCCTTGATAACTATTGCTCAATTACCTTCTAGAAAGGTTGTACCTGGGCTGGGCTTGGTAGCTCAGCCTGTAATCCCAGCACTTTGGGAGGCTGAGGCTAGTGGATTGCCTGAGCCCATGGGTTCGAGACCCGCCTGGGCACCTTGGCGAGACCTCATCTCTACAATAAATCAAAAATTAGCCGGGCATGGTAGCGCGTGCCTGTATTTCCGGTTACTTGGAAGGCTGAGGCGGAAGGATCACTGGAGTCCAGCAGGTCGAGGCTGTGGTGGCTAGGAACGTACTACTGCACTCCAGTCTGGGTGACAGAGTGAGACTCCAATTCAAAAAAAAAAAAAAGTTGTACCCAGTAGCATTCCTGTCAGCAGTAGAGGAGAATGTGTATATCACTGTACCTTTGCTGAGACTATATCACATACTATTACAACTTTCTCTCAATTCCCTAGGTTTTATTTTTCATTCTTGATTATTGGTGAGGTTGAACATTTTCCCCCAAAAGCAATTTAGTTATCAAAAACAGAAATTCATTTCACAGTTGTGTTTTGTTTGCTCTGGAAAGAAAACTATCAGGGCAAACAAAATAATATATGTAAAGGATTCTTAATGATAATGCAAAATGCTGTCAGCCTTTATAATTACCACCAATCATTGCCCATGGGTCACACATTGAAACAGAAATTCATCAGTAATATATATACACAAATGAGGTTTCTGAAACTTTCAGTATAATATCATCATTCTTAAGTGTGTCTCCAAACTCTGAGCTTGTTCTTTTCTTCACAATTTGCCCATCCACCTGGAGACAGAGCTTCCTTGCAAATCTGTGCCCTGAACATGACCTCTTCTAATTGATCATCCTTAAAGCAAAGATTTCTGGACCTGGTTCTCCATTATCTGAGGAATGAACCATAGGCTCTGTCCCCAAGTGTGCTGGGAAGATGTTTCTAAAGTTTGCCTCTTCAGAGCCTGTTAATATTTGCATGTGAATCACCATCTTTGAACAGTCCTGGTTCTGTGGGCTAGTTGTGTGACTGTGGGTGCATAGTCTCAACCTCTCTGAGAATAGTTTTATCTGTCAAAACAATGGTGGATGGTATTGTATTAACTCTTAAAGAAGATAGCAGGGCACTTGATTGTAGAGTATGCTAGCAATATTTGATCTTACGTACTGTTTCACATTGATTTTTATTCTGAATCACCTGCTTTTTACAACCTATTACCTGAAGGTCCTGATAGTGACTTAATTCTACATATCTGAAGTGTAAGTCCTCATCCATTTGTCTAGCAGCAGTGCATGGGAACTGAAGTAAAATTACACAAGCAGTGGGGTGTGTAATGGGTGCGATCTAACTGATTAAACATGGAGTCCAATTCCCAAGCCCACACTATGCCAATGCTACATGATCCATGTATGTGATTCCCATTCATTCAGCTGCTGAGATAACTGATAGTGTCCTCAAAATGTTGATAGTGTGATTTTCTTAGCACTTCACAAAAATGATACTCATGGCAAATTGTTTTTTAAAAACAAGCAACAATTCTGCTCTAATATTTAAATTGCTTCTTTGCAGAAAAAACTAAAATCACTATAGTAAAAACCTTCAATGCATCAGGTATGACTTATTATCAATATCAAGACTTTCTTTTTTATAACTAAAGTAAAATTAAACAAATGGCTGGTGTTTATGATTTCTTTCTCTTTTTTTCTGCTTTTTAAAAATAAATCTGTTCTTAATGAATAGATGTTTATTCACTAGTTACCTAAAGTTATACTAGGTGTTTGGGGCTATATAATATTATAATGATCAGATACAGTGCCCACCCTTTAGAATCTTCTAGTCTTTGGGGGTGGGAGACAAGGCAAACAAACGGATAACTAACATGAACATGCATACAGGTAAAGGCATTGATTACACAAGTATTTCTGACATGGTTAAGAGGCATGGGAGATGGAGGGAGTGCAATTAGAGAAGAAATTAGAGAAATGAACCTCAAATTCTTTTTTTAAATAAAAGAAAAAGAGTACTTTTAAGTTCCTGATGTAAGACTAGTCACACAAGATATGCTTGACAAAGGCTTGTGATTGTTTTTAAGCAGGGGTTGGCAAACTATCACCAACGGGCCAAATCTGGCTCACTGCCTGTTTTTGTGAATAAAGTTTTATTGTAACACTGCCATGCCCATTTGTTTACATATTTGCTATGGCTACTTTTCTACTATATAGAACAGAGTAATTACAACAGAGACCCTATGACCCACAAAACCTAAAATATTTATCTTACCCTTTGCAGACAAAATTTTCTCATTCATGAGTTAAGGAATGGCCTTGACCATGCATTTGAAGGAGGTTACAGATAAGGCTCTATCAGTAGGGGAAAAAAAGTCTCAGTGTGAATGAACAACAAAAAGACACACATCACTGGAAATGGAGGTGTAGCTAAAATTTAGAAAAAGATGATAGACGGTTGAATAAAAAGCATAGCAAAAAATAGACCTATGGTTTAAAGGACATTTAAAGCATTACTACCCACTATCTATATATCCTATCATATTTTCATAGTGTGTATGTTATAGTGAGTTATATCTATAGGCAAGTGTCTTTTGATGTGGGTAACAGTGCTATGAACAATATAGAAATCTACGTAGCAGGTAACTTTTGGCACCTAAATACCGTTTATTCACAAAATCAAAACTCTTAGCTTAAGCGTCATGCCTAAATACCAGTAAACCATACTGGCGGAAACCATATCACATGCACTAACTCAAATTATAATTTTAGTTTGTGTCCAAAATTATTTTCTCATAGGAATGAACTAAGGACTTGTAACGTGCAATGGAAATAAACTAGCAATTGGGCATTGCATACAAAATTCTGACCAAACAAAACTTAACAAGGAGACTGAAATACTTCTTAATATAACAAACTTCTTCCCTTAGCAGTTTGCTTAATACATTTGCCCCTCCCATTGACTATGAATTTCTTTTGCTTCACCAAGTGGATACAATTAATGAAGGAAAGGTTCTTAGAGAAGTAAACTTTGAGCTCTTTTTCAAATCAATGAAGAGATGTACGTCTCCTTTCACCAAAGGAGAACGTGTTTCTTGGGTTAATATGTATGAAGTTTTTGTTCTAATGTGGCTCACTTCATCTCCCATTCATCTCTGACTTTTTTGTATGCCTGTGTGGTCTTTGTCCTGGTCATTTCATTTCATTTGGCCCTCACTAAAACTTTTTATGTTCTGGTCCACATCACCCACTAGACTGTAAGCTCCTTGAGGGCAGGGTTTATACTTGGAACCTCATAAAACCTGTAGAATATGGTAGGTGTTCAGCAAATATGTTTGGAATTTTGTAGTTTTTGCCCAGGAAACAATATCATGACATTAATATTATTTTATACATACATTTGCATAAAAAGCTATGATTAACATTAGAGTGATCATTTACTCCCCTATCTAGGATAGGAGGGAGGATCTATGATTAAGAGTTATTCTAAAACCTGAGACAATATTTCATTTACATATGCATCTAAAATTCTACTTTAAGCAGGTTAAAGAGGGTCAAGCTCTGTCATTAGCTCATTAAAAATATTGTCTAGCTAATATAAAAAATAAATATCTTATTTTAAAAAGAGTTATTCCATTTAAAGTCTCTATATTTGATTTGTATTTATAGTACTCTGTTTATACTGGACAGGAGAGGGGTTAATTGGGAAGGGGACAAAGAAAATTTAAGGAGAAGTTGGGGGGGGGGTCAGGCACTGACATACTAAAAATTAGTAAAGAATTCAGTTCCATAGATGACCGACTAAGAAATGAAAACTCATTTCTTTAATCTTTGTGGAATTCATCCAGCCAATTATAGCCAGTTTATAATCTTTTGGGACTACATTTGATGCCTAAATTTGTACATTCTCTTAACAATGTGGTGTATAAGTACAAGTATTGACAAGCTTAATTAGCTGGGTTGTGTTTTCTTTGCAGGAGTCAAACCCCAGAGAAATACCTGCAATTTGTCATCTATTTGCAATGACTCAGGTTAGTTCTTGTGTACATTACACATTACCAGATAAATCTGCTCCATAGGGCAAAATGGTTTGTTTGGTTTTTTCTTTTGAGTATGTGGTGTGTGCCTCTCTGATCTGTCTCTTTTTATGCCACCTGACTACTAAGAATACCTAAGAAAAACAAAAGCAAATTTTAGATCTGGCTGAAATTATCTTCCCATTGCCTAGTGAGAAGCTGGATTAACTTCCTTATATGACACTTGAAGCTCTGCAATAAATCTTTTTCATTATAGCTTTAAATCTATAACTAATAAACTTAAATTTAATTCATAAACAATTAATAATGACATTAATAATCACTGAAAGTCATTTTTTATATATAAATCCCTCAAGCTTTTCCTTAGGGCCATAAGTATTATGGCTGAGAAACAGGATGTTGTTTTTTGCAAAGAATTAAACAAATTAGCCTGTTGAAACCTCATGTACACCTAGTTTAATTGGATGCTAATTCCATTAGTATCCATGGTGTATTTTGCCATCTCTAACTCAGACTGTTCACTACTTTTTAAAACTGAGATGGAAATCTCTTGAGAAGAAGCTATTTTTGAAATGTGAATTTTTTTCCCTTCTGCCATGGGCCAAAAGGCATGAAACAACCACTTTTCTCACGTTGGTTTGGCTCTCTGGGCTCCCTTCCTTGCTATAACCAATAAAAGCAAATGTGAAAAACAGAAAAATATGGTGTGGCAAGTCAAAACTGACCAGGAGATCATGAGAAGAAGAAGGCAACTAGGTATTTTATGATAGTAAAACCTTAGTGTGACTCCAGTAATAAGCAGTCATTATAAGAATGTGTTCTTTTATTCTGGTCCTTTTAATAGTCTTAGAAATTTGTTTGAAAAACATAGGTAGCAATTTCAAGTAAAATAAGTTAAGATTGGATAGATTAGAAAACAAGAAAACATCCTATTGAAAGAATGTTCCACAAACACTTTCGAATTTTATGAATGTGAGATTTGCTTATCTGAGCTTTCTGCTGATACTATGCTCCAGGTAGAATATTGGAGAAAAGTATTAGCTGGTTTTGGGAAACATCTTAATTTCATATATTACATAACCCTCTCTTCTCTTTTCCTCCTCCTTTCCTCCCTCCTCTCTGACTCTTCTCTTTACCAAATTCCTCTTAATGTCATTATTTTTGTGTTTCATCTATGTTTTAGGCTGATGACTAATGTCTAGTTCAGTGTTGTGTCTACATGATGTTTGATAACTGTTTGAAAATTGAACATGTAATTAAAAAAAACTGGTCATCTTAAATAACAGATGCCAGAAAACTGGTTGGAGTAATGTTTTCCCCAATTAAGTGACTGAATTGACCATTTGTTTTAGTGTCTGGTGAAAACAACCTCATCGGGGAACCAACTCTTTTGGCATCAGAAATCCCATGATACCCTGCCAGAAACTAGAAACTCTCACTTTCTTGCAGGTTCCAATCTGGGCTCATTAAGGAAAGTGGAGACTAGTGAAGAAACTGGGAGCTGACCCAGAAGAGTTAGGCTGATAATCAAAAGGTGGTGACTTCCTGGTTGCCCTGCTACCACTGTGCTCCCAGCACATTTATGAAACTCAACATGCACTTAATAAGAATGCAAGGGAGGGAAACTGTGGGTGTTGGCATGTATACACACACATGATCTAAATAAGCATTAAAAAACTAAGATTTTTTTAAAAAAATGTATAGGTCATTCTATCAAGTATGTTTGATTTTAATAATTACATATTGTGTTGATTGAAATTCCAGTATCAATATGCAGAAGGTGAGGTTCTAAGTACAAAAGTTGCTGAAATAGACCATGTTCATCACTGGTCTAGTATCTATCATCCATTTTCAAGTGGAAGTGGACCATCGGGCATATGGCTATGGGAATCAGTTGTTGTACTTTGAAGTACAGGGAAAGATGATAACCCCTCTGGCTCAGGGGTTAGCTAACTACCACTTATAGTCCAAATATGGCCTGTTTTTGTAAAGAAAGGTTTTTTTTTTCTTTTTCTCTCTCTCTCTCTTTTTTTAAGTCAGAGTCTTACTCTGTTGCCTGGGCATGCTCACGACCACCACAGACTCGACCTGCTGGGCTCAGGCCATCCTTCCGCCTCAGCCTTCCAAGTAGCTGGAACTACAGGCGCATGCTATCACACCCGACTTATTTTTTGATTTATCGTAGAGACGAGATCTCACCAAGTTGCCCAGGCTGGTCTCAAACCCCTGAGCTCAGGCAATCCTCTCGCCTTGGCCTTCCAAAATGCTGTGATTATAGGCTTGAGCCACCATGCCTGGCTCTAAATAAAGTTTCATTGGAACACAGCCATGCCCATTCATTTATGTATTGTTTATGAATGCTTTTGTGCTACAGTGACAGTTGAGTAGTTGCAACAGAGACCATACATCCCATAAAACCTCAATTATTTATTGTCTGATCTATCACCAAAAATTCTGGTTGAACCCTACTCTAGTTTATATGACATCTTTGACTATTGCTCAAGAGGCAGTTTTTGATCCCTATAGATTACAAGGTGCACGGCATGTACTTTTGTTTAGACATTTCTATTTTGTTTCCAGATGAAGCCAAAGCCCCTAGGAGTATACCCTGCAGGAAAAAAGTTGACAGAAATTGAGTTCAATATTTCCCAAAGTGAGCATTTTAAGAACAGAGTTTTCTGGTGTTTCTAGAATGAAAGTTAAAATGAGTTGTGCAACCGAAGAAAGGATTTTCCCTCCATACTATTCAGGTTTGAAAACCAAGTCTCAAATCTGTTCCTAGGAAAGATATTGCATTTGGTAGCTATATTTTTAAAAAAGAACCAAACAAGAAAACTGGCAATGAATATATAGACCTCCATAAGGAGAAACACCTTTTCCCTCTCTCCCAAACCTATGTAATTGCAATTATAACAACTTTAAAAGATTTTTTAAAAAAGTTAATGTTAGAGCTGCAGTTCCTCTAATTAGCATATTTAAGGGAAACAAAATTCTAATGAGAAGCATGTAGGGATAACATTTCTTGACATGGGGACAAGTTTTCTCTCTTTTGAAATTTCCACATAAAATTTATAGTTCCTGTTTTCTAAAAATTATATTGATAATCATTGAGTAACTTACTAATAGAGAATAAGTGTCAATAAAACAAGGAATTTGTTTATAAAATAATTTGATAATCTTTTTATATGGTGTATTAATCCTCAAGCTATAAAGATACAAGTCTCAAATTTCTTTTTGAAATTTTATTTTTAGCATTTTTTAGAGGTGAGATAATGTTTCAACATGATGAAGGAAGCAGCGTTACTCAGGTAGGTCTTAAAGATTTTTCTTATTGCAATATCAAAAGGTGAATTTACATGTATTTTAAAATGTGAGGTTCAGGTTATTTGTAATATTTTGGCATGTTTACTTTTATGACCAAATTTAAATAAAGTATGTATTATTGAATCCCTAGCTTTGTGGTGAGGACTTGAATTCATGATACTTATGGTATTTTGTTAATAATTCTTCATTATATTTTAGTTTTTACTAGGTTTGCTACTGAAAAAAATGTTAATATGATGCAATTCTGATACCAGTTAAAATTTTTAAATTATATTAGAAACTCCAGGCCACAAGAAATATATGTATTGAATCTAAGAATAATCTTCCAAATCTGATCCTGTTTGCCCCATGGGGAATTGGAATACAGTGGTATCAGCCTTCCCGTAACCTAGATTGGTTCAGAGGCTCCTGACCAACCATGGTTTGTTCATTCATTGAATATTTCTGTGCACCTACTATGTGCCAGACAATGAGCTGGTTGCTAGGAATGCAGCAATGGCTGCTGTCAAGTTTCCCTTTTTACACTGGGGACTGTTACTTACATCTGGGTCCTTTCATGACAAGAGCTTTAATAGTGTTCCTTTGGAGGAACCCCCTGAAATAAAGACAGAAATTAGCACATCAGAGCTGCTGACTTGAAATATCGTTTAAAGAAAACATAAAACAGAAACTGTCTCAACCAATATGAGTGAACTTTTGAGAACCACTTTTTCCTCCCTCCCTTGTCTATATAACTGCAATTTGATCATTTAATAGACAATGTTCTTTGCGGTTAGGATTCAGTCTTTGGGATGTAGTTCTTTGGGTGGCCAACAAAACTAAAGAGCAACTTCTTGTTAGAGAAGAAAAAACAAAACAATGTCTGTTGTTTCCTTAATGATTTTGTGCTTCTAACAGAATCAAGATATAACTAACAACACCTTAACCAGAGTCCTGTCTCTAAGTGAATTGAAGTGAGTAATCTGCTGTTTGATTTCAAACTTTCAGACATTTGCTGTGGAAAGATACTTGTTGAGCCGTCTTTGCTTTTGAAAACCAAGAATAGGAAAGAGACAAGACCCAAAGGCTACAGAACTAATTGGTTCTTGACTTCCTTGCAAACTAACCATAGTCACCTGTCACCAGCTAATATCCCCATGAGGCTATTCTCTTTGATGCTCTGAAATTACATAACAGCTTCATTTGAACTGGTATTTGAGTTTTAATATGCTTTGGTATCCAGCATAATTGAAAGAGGAGTTCAAAGTAGGACTCCATGTAATATGATTTGTTTGTGCTTGCATGAAGCATCAGTGATTCAAAAGTCAGAGGGAGGTCAATGTTAAGTAGACCTTGTCTTACAAGGACAAGCACAGACAATGAGAAATGCATTACAAATAGATACTCCCAATTAGACAATAGGTCCAAAATCTCAGTCATAGGAGTTGTCTAGGCCAGGAGACGGTCTTACTCTGACTATCACTGAGAGGGTCAACTTCGTGTCTTTATCTTTGTGGCAGGGAAGCAGTGTCAGAGGTGACATTCATCTACTCTTAGTCTTGCTACTGCCTCACAAATGAGATTGTTGTAAACTTTTGAGCTAAATCTGCTCTGGTGTCTGGGATGACACTGAAAAGAAAAATCTTCCCTAGGTAAAAACAAAACAACAACAACAGCAACAAAAAGCCCAAAACCAAAAGAAAAAAAGAAAACTTTTCTTATGGGTCATCCTTTCAAATAAGCATTTTGACATGCCTGCTTCTGATGATTTAACAATGCCCAGGCAGAGAGGAATACCACAGTTCCACTTGGCAGATGTCAAATATTCCTAGGACCCACTGAATTTATGGTAGTTAAAAAGTTCAACTAGTGAAAACTGGAATTGGGACAGGGTATTATTTATGTCCTTTATGCCTATTCTTTGACCTCTTGGTGAAAATCTAGCTTTTCTAACTATTCAAAATTATATATGTGAAATGAAAAGCAGAACACGTCAATGCTCTGGAAGGAGGAAAAACTTTAGATTAGTAATAATAGAGGGAACTTTAAAAAAACTCACAAATTTACAACTAGAATATAACTTAGCATACTTATAAGTAATTATTCTTAATTACTGACTAGAAATAGATCTGAGTCCATTTAAGGTCACTAAACACTTGTTGAGCACCTACTGTGTGCTGGGCCTTGGAGATCAAAGGGATAAACCCAACTCTCTGAGATGGAAAACCAAGTCTAGAGCAGTGATCCACATCCCTGGCTGCATATTAAAATCACCTGAGGAGCTTATAAAAATCCTGAGGTTCAGGCACACTCCATAACAATTAAATCAATATTTGGGGGCTGAGAGACCCAGGCTTTGATATTTTTTAATGCTCCCCAGGTGGTTCCAACATGAGGCCAATTTTGAGAACCAGGGCTCTTGAGCCTGATGGGTAAGATGCAGGATGGAAACACAATAACAGTACAGCCCATTCCCTACATTGAAGGTGACCTGTATAGGGTACCAAGGGATGGATGTTCTAAGTCTCTGAATATAGAGCAGGAGGAGTGGTTAGACCTGACTAGAGGGGACTGAGGAGCCTCTAGAAAGAAGTTGGCCTTTGAGCACAGTTAGGAAGGAGTGGCTCCTGCTGGCTTGAGGAGCCAGCTGACTACTGCCATGGTCCTTCTCTTTTTCCTTTCAGACCTTGCCTCATGCCACCATTCCTTGGAGGAGGGCTTCTCAGCCTTGGCACTAATGACATATTAGGCCATAATTATCTATCATAGATGGCAGTCCTCTGCATCATAGGATGTTTAGCTGCATCCCTGGCTTCTCCCCACCCAGATGCCAATAGCACCCTCCCCAGTGTAACAACCACAAATGTTTCCAGACATTGCCAAGTGTCAACCCCTGCTTGAGAACCACTGCCTTACAGTGGATTCTTTAACTAGATTTCTTTCATCCTAACTTTATGTGAAGCTCTGCCACTTTGAAGAAATGAAAGCACTGTTGGACTGAGGCTGGAGGAGAGGAATGAGGAATTCCTAAGGGGAGTTGTGAAGAGGGGAAGGCAGGGCTGGAGAGGGCGAGAGAGGGCAGGCTGGGTCGGTGGGATGGGGAATGAGGAAGAAATCAGAGGTGCAGAGTTCCTAGGGCGAGTGGCTTTCCCCTCTCAGAAATGTATGCCTTGGGCTGGCTGTACTCCTGGCCCTCTGCCAGAAGAAGCTGCCTGGAGGTAGCAGTATTCTAATGAATGACAAAATTGTCCAACCAAAATTTATATCTTGCTCTTGGTTAGAACCGATACAGTTCCTGTCTGGTTAGTTTCCTTTGTCATATAAATAATTTATTTTTGCCACACAGGAATCTCTTCTTATACCCTCTATTTCTTCAAAGTGAACACTGTAAGCAATGAATACCATGGGCTTGATTTAATTGCTAAGACTCTAACTTGTTTTGAATTTAATATCACTAATGGTCTCCTTAATGTCAGTTTCTCTAATTTTATTAACAGACGATCAGAGCTCAACAAAACCTTGCAGACTCTAAGTGAGGTAATCATAGTACACCCTCCCTGTGTCTTGTTTATAACTATAGTTATGATTTGGGGGAAGAAATGGAGTTTTACATTCCTGAGGAGATATGTAATCAAATTCCCCCAAATTTGTTATTTAAAACAGTGAATGTTCTAGTTCTATTATTCCAAAACTCAGGATTAGGAGCAATGGGTAGACATTACAAGGAAGTAGACTTTATTTCATGTGAAACCAAGTTTCTTAAAATATATACTTTAGGAGAACGAGCTCCCTCATGTAGTAGTGACCTTTCTGACACTGGAGGTAACCAAGCAGACTTAGTATGGCCTGTATAGCTTTGATAATATGTTGGGAATCAGGTAAGAATGTGAATTGAATAATCCCTAGGGGTTCTTGTGGTTCTAAAATTCTGTGGCTCTGTGATTAGCCCTGGGTCATCTTTTCTGGCATTTCCAACTGTCAAGTAACATGTGTATATCTTTTGCTTGTTTGTTTCAGACTTATTTTATCGTGTGTGCTACAGCAGAGGCTCAAAGGTCAGTTATTTCTATATTTTTATAAATATCATTATCTCTCTATGTCTTAGTTAAATTGCAAATCCAAAAGGGTTCCTTTAAAATAGATACATATTAATGACATTTTGGCTTTAAATATTTTTAGTTATCCAAACACTGATCACTTGGTCACATCCATCCTCTCATTCCTTTATGAAGCACAGAGGAGTGTGTGGTATCAGGCCATTTACCCCTGGCTCTATGAGGCTAAGGATCATCAGTGTCCTTAGCTCTGAGGGTCACCAATGTAACCAAGAAGTGGCTCACAGTGGTCCAGGCAAGGGAGAGGTTAGACAAAAAAGAAGGAATATAATATGGAGCTTAGGAAAAGAAGGAGAGGAAGGGGAAGGAAAAGATTGGAAAGAAAGAGCAAAGAAGAAATTCAACAGTATGTGCAGAGATGCATCAGATATTGTCTGATATCTATTAGGGGCTTCACAGATTATCATTTTAAATTGTGTCCATTGGCTATCCTGGCTGCATAAACCAATGGCTTATAGGGTAATCATCTCACTACCAAAATCCTGAGCATTCTGTGAGAGTCAAAGTCCTAGAAAATAACAGTTTTCACTCATCGAACTAGTCATTGGTAAAAATAAGGGCAAGTCTTTCATGAAATTGTAGGTTGAATCCCTAACCACTATACATATCTAGTTCATTTCACTTCTTTTCGTTATTTGCAGCATTCTTTTTTTTACACCTAAAACCAAGGCAAAAGTAGAAAGAAACAGAGAATGTCTCAAATTCTTAGTTATCTGATAATCTAAATGGAATTGCCAGAGAGATTTGGGATTTAAGAGACCTTGATGTTCATCTAGGCTGGTATGTGAAAGGATGCCCATGATGGAAACTCAAATGCCTGTAGACACCGGGCAAGTAACCAGCTGGGGGACGGAGTGGGGGAGATAAGACTAACGATGTGAAGGTGCTTGTCTTTGCAACCAAGTTTCACTCCCACCTGTTCATTGTGCAGGGAGGCAAAACAGACCAGCAGCAATGTGCGGTCAGAGGGTCTCTAGTTTGCAACCTCTGTGAATGTGAACTTCTATAAAGGTCTCTTAGTATAAAGTTCTTTGGGGTAAAGTTCACACCATAGTAAATGGGTGCTTACAAGCTTATTGGGGTGACATTGCAAGTTAGCAGTGTCAGTGTTCCTTTTCTTTACTCTTAAGTTAAGCAATTATAAATATATAGATAGGTTTCCAATTTAGTAACATTCTGGTTATATATATTTCTCTTTACAGCACATTAAATTGTACATTCACAATAAAACTGAATAAGACAATGAATGTATGTGCTGTAATAGCTGCTTTGAAAAGAGTCAAGATTCAACCAATGGGTAAGCTGTCTCTATTTTTATTGACACATTTATCTCTACATGACTTTTTCTAACTGACAATATATGAATAAACTTACATATGTTACAGCTTTCTGTTTTGACTTTTTTATGCTTGAGCAATTTTTAGAGAGCCCTAGTAGGTTATTTTTTCTGCTTTCTAATAAAATTTCAATATGTCGTATTTGAAAACATGATAGAACAAATCCTGTTGAGAGGGAGAATTCTGTTTTTATGCTTGATGAATTGCTACTGGGATATGTCTACTTCTTTTTTAATTGACAGGTAAAAATATTATATATTTATGGTGACACTGTGATGTTTTGATATACATTGTGGAATGGCTAAATAAAGCTATTTAACATGTATTTTTATTTCACATACTTATCATTTTTGTGGTAAAAACATTTAAAATTTACTCTTAACAATTTCAAATGTATAATATTGTTATTAACTGTAGTTACCATGCTATACAATAGATCTTTTGAACTTATTCCTTCTGTCTAACTGAAATTTTGTGTCCTTTGTCTAACATCTCCCCAATTCCCCAAGCCCCCACCCTCTGCTAAGCACCATTTCACTCTCTGTTTCTAAGAATTTGACTTTTTTAGATTCCTCATCTGAGTGAGATCATTCAGTATTTGCCTTTCTGAGCCTGACTTTTTTCACTTAACCTAGTGTCCTCCAAGATATGTTTTTTCTGAATTCCTCTTAGGAGTTGATACTCCACACATATAACCAAAAAAAAAATACTCAATAAATATTTTTGGACACTACATATACAGTATATACTTGTCAATGTAATGGTATCCAATTTATCTTGTTGCCTGTTTTCCTGTTTTAGATAATCACTCTTTAAAATGCAGTCAGTGTAAGAACTGCCATACTTGGTGAGTCTGAGCTGCGACCTTGCTTTATTCTTGACCATGCATTTTCTTCTCCCTTTTTCTTTCATCTACTCCAGAACACTGCTGCTGTTCTGTTGGGACACCCTGCCCTTCCTCCCCAGAAGAGTTGGAAAAGCTGCAGTGGTATGTAACAAACATGCCAACCCTTCTCCTAAAAGATAAATAAATAAAATTAATTACCATGCTAGTTAAGGAGTTTTGGAATTTGGGGAGTCAAGAAGGATTTTCAATTTTAGGACAAATGCACAGTTTTCTGCTGTATGAAGTTTCTACTTGGACCATTGCTTTAGACCAATAGTTCGAAATCTTGGCTGCACGTTAGAATCACCTAGGGAGTGTCAAAAATATTCTGACACCCTCCAGACTCACCAATTAAATAGTTTGACATTTAAAAAAGTTTGCCAGTCTGATAGATAAGGAACGGTATTTCAGGGTTACTTTAATTAGCATTTCTCTTATTAAGACTGAGTAGGAACTTTCTTCATGTACTTGGAGGCTATTTTAAAAAAATCTTTTAATGAATTTTATGTTCATGTCTTTTCCTTATTTTTTTCTAATGAATATTTGGTATTTTTTTTCTTTCTCGAGTGGGAGTCTCACTTTGTCACCCAGGCTAGAATGCAGTGTCACAATCATGGCACACCGCAGCTTGGACCTTCTGGGCTCAGACAATCCTTCCACCTCAGCTTCTCAAGTAGCTGGAACTACAGACATATGCCACCATGCCTGGCTAATTTGTGTGTTTTTTGTAGAGAAAGGGTCTAGCTATGTTGCCCAGGCTGGTCTTGAACTCCTGGGCTCAAGCATCCTCCTGCCTCAGCCTCCCAAAGTGCTGAGACTACAGGCATGAGCCTCCAGACCTGGCTAATTTTCAAGAGTACTTTATATACTGTAGGTATTATAACTTTTTCTGGGTGTATGTTGCAAATATTTTCCTCCAGTTTGTCAGTTATCTTTTGTTTATTGTTTTTTGTCATATGAATTTTTATAAAACTTTATGTAATTAAATTTACCAGTTTTTTCTTATATTGCCTGTGAATTTGGAGGCATACAAGTAGTTAGAAAGCCTTCCCCAATAGAGTAAATAGAGGAATTTACCCTTGTGTTTTTCTTGTACTTGTATGGTTTCATTTTTCACATTTAGATCCATGTGGTGCAAGATATGGATCTAATTCTATCTTCTTCCAAATGTTTACCAGTGGATCTGACACCATTTCTTAAAAAGTACATCATTTGGCCAGGTGCAGTGGCTCAAGCCTGTAATCTCAGCACTTTGGGAGGCTGAGGTGAGGAGATTGCCTGAGCCCATGGGTTCAAGACCAGTCTGGGCAACCTAGCGAGACCTCATCTCTACAATAAATCAAAAAATTACCTGGGCGTGGTAGCACGTGCCTGTAGTTCTGGTTACTTGGAAGGCAGAGGTGGAAGGATCACCTGAGCCCAGCAGGTCGATGCTGGGGTGGCCATGAGTGTGCTGCTGCACTCCAGTCTGGGCAACAGAGTAAGACTCCAACTAAAAAAAAAGGTCCCTCTTTTCCCCAGTGGTTTGAGGTACTATCTTTGTCATATACTAAATTTTGATAGGTATTTGGGTCTAATTCTGGATATTAGATGTTAACATTGGGGGGAGCTGGATGAGGAGTATCTAGAACTCTTTATATTATTTTTGCAGTATTTCTGTAAGCCTAAAATTAGTTCAAATAAAAAAGTTTTAAAAATACTGATTCCCAGTGACCACCCATAGAGATTCTGATTTAATTGATCTGGGACATAGCCTAAGCATTAATGGTTTTAAAAGCTCTTCTGGCAATTCTAATGTGCAACCAAAGTTGAGAATCACTGCCTTAAAATTATCACCGGAGGAAAACTGAGAGATGGATGCTCCAAAATAGTAGAAAAGTCTGAAAGTCACATATACATAGGAAAAACAGAAAGGACATGAATGAAAATGTTCATGGTGGTTCCCAGTGATTGACCTGCCTGCTGGCATTAGGAGTATTTTATCTTTTACTTTTTTTTTTTACTTTGTGGTATTTTCTATATTTTTCTACAATCAGATACAAATTGTATTAAAAAAGATATAAGTTTTTGTTTTTTTAATATGTGAAGCTTCTCAGATGGGAACAGAAGGCCAAGTATAACCTGTCTGCCCTGTTGTTGGCCAAATTTCTAGGCTATATTAAAACATTGAACCTCAAGGAACCACTAAAAGTCTTTAGTTAAGGATTTGTAGCATTTTCTGCAATAAAATGTAAAGAGTAACATGCCCCATTAAACTTAACATGCCCCATTAAGCTGGAGAGTTGAAACCCATTTGGGGAATAGAATTTCTTCTAGAAGCACTGGCATAAGATCAAAAGACCATCACTATATTGAGGCAGCCTCACTGACCCCTGATGGCTGCCCATTCAGAGAGCTGTTAAAAAGTAGCAGCAGGACTTACAAAAGGGGGCAGAATGGGAACCTGGTATCTGGCTAGGGCACTATCATTAACTAGCTGGGTATCTATTATCAAGAGCAGATGCCTTATTACCTTTGAAGTCTCAGGTGAAATAAGGAAGTGAATTACTAGATCTCTGTGAAGCTAGGAAGTGGATTAGGTCAGCACTTCTCAAACATTACTGTGTACATCAGTCACTGAGGATCTTGCCAAAATGCAGATTCTGATCCAGAACAGCAGGGCTTGAGATTTTGCATTTCTAACATGCTACCTGCGTGAAGCCAGTGTTGCTGGTTCATGTGCCCTACTTTGAGTATTGAGGGTTTAGATCATAGAGCAGTACAGCAGTTGTCAACCCTGGTCTCATGTTGGAATCAGCTGGAAAGTTTTAAAAACACCGATGCCCGGCTTTCACCCTCAGAGACTGGTCAGGGGAGCAGCTGGGGCTTCTACATTTTTAAAAACTCCTAGGTAGGGTATATTTCTTTACTGTATGTGACTACACTTTCATAAAGAAGCACATTAAAATAAGTATTGATACCTGCACCCACCGCCAGAGATCCCAGGTCAGCTGGTTTGGAGCAGGAGTCCAGGCACTGGCACTAAAGTGTTCTGGGGGTTCTAATGGGCAGCTAGTGTTGCCTGCCACAGCTCTGCCCACCACTGGGCAATCTCTTCACAGCTGAGCCCAGTGAATGGGAGTCTGTGTCGGGGTCTGGCTTCTGCAGGGTCCCAGATAATATGAAGAAAATGTACACTTTGCAAAGCACATTTACCACACCTTGGCCAGATGGGCGCTATAGCACATGATTTAGGGAATGGAATCTCAGAAACACTGGGCAAATTATCCAGAGGAGTAGTGAGAGCTGGAACCCAAGTCAAAGCTTTTTGACTCACGATCTTTCTAACAGTCTGACACCCCTGTGTCCTCACTGCTGCCCAGAACTTCATGGGTTGCAGGAAGGCCTATGGCCAAGTGCCTGGCCAGACTGGACTAAGCTGGCTTTTCTTTCTATGAATATGACTTGCCTTGGGCCCCCTGGCCTAGTATTCCTCCCTCCTGTCACCTAAGAGGAGCTCCAAGAACACACCCTCTTTGGTGTTCTAAGTTTCCATCTTAAACTGGATCCAGCAAAGGCTTCCCTGGATAAAAATTTGTTGTCCTCTCTAGTTGCTCCTCCCCCCAAGATATCCCCCAAGACTGATAGATTTTTGCTAAATAGTAGGTGAGTTCTTCTCAACCTTTGATGCCCATGAAAATCACCAGGAAGTTTAGAAAATACACGTGCCTGGGAACTCCACGCTCCATCCCAAGATCAACTAAATCAGACACTGAGGAGTAGGTCACAGAAATGTATACAGCATATCTTTTAAAAAAGTGCTCTGGGTAATTCCCATACATAGCCAAGGTTGAGAACCATTGAGCTAAAGCAACCTCGAGGACATAGCTGATACATAAGCTGGGGACCACCCTTTGGTCTCAGCTTGATTTATTTTTTCATTCAACCAACATTTCTTGGTCGCTTACTGCATGCCACTTGCCACTATGTCAGGATATAGCAGTATAAAGCTGATGAAGACGATTCTTAGTGTATGGAAACCCGTTGGGTCACAGGGCATTTAAACAGTCCTCCTCCCCCAGTGCACAGAGGGGATTGCCTCACTTGAGTGATGAACAATAAGGCACAGGGCCTCAGGACAGTGGTGATTTAATGAACCAGAACTGGTGATTTGTAGTTGAGCATTTCCTTCTTGCTAATTTCTCTCCCAGGAAGTAGATAGGGGGAGTGAACAGGGGGCCAGTGGCAGGTGCCACAGAGGCTATAAAATGGCAGAGGCCAGAATTGGCACATCCCTAATATAACCACATGAACTTGTTGGTGTCAGATGGTTGCCAGAGGGAGGGGCTTTGCCCCTCCACAGCTCGTTTATGTCTTACCTGCATCTTTCTGATTTGTTCCTTCAGTGACCTGCAGGATCCTGTTGTCTGTCGTGTTGATCATCCACATGGCCCACCATTTTCTTCTTCCCATAATTCTATCCCAGTTGCACCTCTGGCCACTATTCTTTCCCTGGTCTCCAGTACCTTCTCTTTTGCTGAGCCCCTAGATCATCCACCTGTGACCCAGAATGTTCCTTCTCTGACAGAAGAGATTCACCCTCCTTCTCCCCAGCCTTCGATTCCCATAGCTTCCAGCCCTGCCACTGATGTCCTTCTCCAATCTGGAACTATCTCTTCCCCTATGCCCCAACCCCATCTTTATCACACTTTGCCACCTGAGAAAGCCTCACTTTCCTCTCCCACCACATCTGTCCCCGCGAGTGTCATCACCACCAGCACAGCTCCTGACAAGACAGGTAAATATGAGACTCCATCTGAACTGCAGCTGCCAGCCTGCAGATCAAGACATCTGTGATAAGGCCACATTGAGCCTTTCTTTGTATGATGTTTGCTTGATTTCTAGAGCTTTCCTTTAGGTATTCATAGAACATAGCTGTGGCTGAGGTAGATTGTTTTGACCAAGATAATAAAGAAGTAGCTCTAAGAGGCAAGCACAGATCTTATTTTATTGAGAGTTTTCTTCCTTCCTTCCTTCCTCCCCTCCCCCCTCCCTTTCCCTCCCCTCCTTTCCCTCCTTCCCTCCCTCCTTCTTTCTTTCTCTCTCTCTCTCTCTCTCTCTCTCGTTCTCTCTGTTGACAGGGTCTCACTCTTGTTGCCCAGGCTGGAGTGCAGTGATGTAATCCCTGTGCACTGCAGCCTCGACCTGCTGGGCTAAGGTGATCCTTCCAATTCAGCCTTCCAAGTAGCTGGGACTACAGGTGCACACCACCATGCCCAGCTAACTTTTGCATTTTTTGTAAGGATGAAGTCTCACTATTTTCCCAGGCTGGTCTTGAACTCATGGGCTCAAGTGATTCTCCTACCTTGGTCTTGTAAAGAGCTAGGATTACAGGTGTGAGTCACTACACTGTCCACAATGGATATTTTACTTTATTTTTGGCTGTTTTTTATTTTTTCTTGCATCATGATCTCACTTTGCCACCCAGGCTGTAATGCAGTGGCACAGTCACAGTTTACCGCAGCATCCAACTCCTGGGCTTGAGCAATCCTCCTGTATCAGCCTCCCAGCTGGGAGTACAGGTGCGTGCCACCACACTTGGCTAATTTTTTGATTTTTTTGTAGAGATGAAATCTCACTATGTTGCCCAGGCTAGTCTCAAACTCCTGGACTCAAGCCATCCTCCCGCTTTGGCCTCCCAAAGTTCTAGGATTGCAGGCATGAGCCGCTACACCCAGCCCAAGATGAATATTTTATAGGTTTATTTTTCCTACAAAAGGTTGCTTGACTGCTGTCTTCAAGTTTCAGAAGATAAAACTTTTGATTTATAAACACAATAGCTCTATTTAGATGGAAGACAAAAAAAATGGTGTGCTTGACAATCAGTCAGTCACACATTGACTGAGCCAAGCTAGCCATAGGAAAGAGAGGGCGAAAAACATTCGGAAGACCTAGGCACAGGTCTGCACGGGCCCTCACAGGCAGCATGATCTGGGACCAGCCATTTGGCTTCTCCTGACTCAGACTGTTCTATGTAAAAATGGAAATAATCACACTAACTGCACTAGGTTGAGAACTAGGGTGTGTGTGGGAATGCGGCAGAAACCACTGAGGGTTCCCAGGGCCAAAGTACAAGAGCAGACCCCCAAAACTCCAGAATTGTCTTTTGGAGAGCAGGCCCCTTGTAACACACTCGGAATTTGTTCCTCTGATCAAATGGTCAACCAAAGTTTTTATCTGGAAATTTTGAGAAGGTTGTTTCACTATTTGCAGAAGAAATGTCCTGAGTTGTAGCAAACAGGTGACTGGTTCTTCTGCCATGACAACACACCTGCCCACACTGCACTGAGTGTTCTGCAGTTTTTGACCCAAAACAGCATGACCCCCATGCCCCACCCTCCTTTTTCAACTGATCTCACCCCAGCGACTTTTTTAAATTTGTTTGCTGGATGAAAAAAGTCCTCAAGGGGAAACATTTCGCCGATATAGAAGAGGTGAAACAAAAAATGGCAGGAGCACTAAAAGGCATCAAAATTGATGAGTTCAAAAACTGTCTTGAGCAGTGGAAAAAGTGTCTCAATAGGTGTATTGCATCAAACGGAGAGCACTTTGAAGGTGACTGAAGTTTAAACATGTAAGAATAAATACACAATTTTTAATAAATAAATTCTAAGTTTTGGGGTACACCTCATAGACTTACTGATACAGAGATGAAGGGGAAAGGGAGAGAGGCAAAGAAAATTCTGCATACTCTGGAGTCTCAATTCAGTGAGTAAGAAGCAGGTCTTCCTCTAGAATTTGGAGGATGGGAGGCAATGCCCAGTTTTTTGTGACATTAGGTTGGTGCTCAGATTGTGGTCCCAGTCTCCTCCTCCATGGTGTCAGCATCCCCAAGAGACTGGGAGCATCTGCCAAATAACTTGATATTTCTTTAAATTTGCACTACTCTCTTTTCACTGTTTTTTTTTTTTTTTGAGTCAGGCTCTCACTCTGTCATCCAGGCTGGAGTGCACTGGCAAGATCATGGTTCACCACAGCCCAAACTCCTGGGCTCAAGTGATTCTCCCACCTCAGCCTCCTGAGTAGCTGGGACTACAGGCACATGCCACCATGCCTGGCTAATTTTTTTATTTTTTTTGTAGAGATGAGGTCTCACTATATTGCCCAGGCTGGTCTCAAATTTCTGGGTTCAAGTGATCCTCCCACCTCAGCTTCCCAGAGTGCTGGTATTACAGGCGTGAGCCACCACAATTGGCCAGAATATTTTTTAAAATAAATATAAATATTTTAGAACAAATTATAAAAGCATTGAGGTTCTAGTCAAGAGAATGTTCAATGACTGAGGAAGAATAAAGTGGAAGTTTGTTAGCCTAGGTCTAAGATGCCCACCGTTTCAGTGTGTTTGTTCCATTGACCCTTAGAATCAACGTAACAGGTTAACAAAACCCAGAAAGGTAGACTTTGGCACTTGTGCTTCTACTCCTGGGGCAACAGAAGCAAGGTGACATCTGCATAAAATATGCAAATTGAGAGCATCCTTTACCTGGGAGCTAAAAAGTAACTAAAACCTAATGGTTCCAGAAGAGGAATGATTAAACAAGATTAAATAAGATATACAATTATACAGCCACGTAAGTCATTCAAATAGCTATATAGAACCTTGGGGGCATTTTTCAAGTCTTAATGTATTGTGAAAATAGCCCAACAATAAATAGTTTGTGCATCATGTTTATAACAATGTAAATGGTGGATAATGATTAGAAGGGAATATGCAAAATAAGAAATAGGTCTTAGGTGGTGAAAGTAAGATTTGTTTGTTGTTAAAGACAAGTTGGTTTGTACCATTGTTTCCCAATTTAAAGCCCTATCAAAAGTTGGACTTTCATAAAATTCTCTTTTTCACAAGAGCTTCTATTGATCCACATAAAATCCTGAATGCATGATATAAATTAAATACAAGTATACTTGTGCTTATATAAATATATGCTAAATACACTGATGTGCTTTTATATTTTTTAGTTAGAGTTATTGAAGTATAATTTACAAACTAATATTTACCCAATTTTATGAATAAATGAAATTTTTATAGTTCTATGTGGTTGGATAAACACCCACAGTCATGTAACCACCATCACAATCAAGACATATAACTTTTCCACTAACTACAAAGTTCCCTCATGTCCCTTTGAAGACAGCATCTACCTCCTACATCACCCCCTGGCCACTGTTGATCTGTTTTGTTTCCCTACAGTTTGACTTTTCTAGAATGTCATATGAAGAGAATCACACAGTATGTGACTTTTTGAGTTTGACGTCTTTGACTTAATATACTGTGTCAGAAAACTGGAGATCTGGCCAGGCACGGTGGCTCAAGTCTGTAATCCCAGCACTTTGGGAGGCTGAGGCAAGAGGATCGCCTGAGCCCTGGGGTGCGAGAACAGCCTGGGCAACTTGGCAAGAACTCGTCTCAACAATCAAATCTAAAAATTTGCCAGGCGTGGTAGTGCACGTCTGTAGTTCCAGATACTTGGAAGGCTGAGGCTGAAGAATTGTCTGAGCCTAGCAGGTCAAGGCTGTGGTGGCCCTGAGTGTGCCACTGCACACCAGCCTGGGTGAGAGAGTGAGACTTCAACTCAAAAAAGAAAAGAAAAGAAAACTCAAGATTCATCTATGTTGTTGCTTGTACTGGTAGTTAATTTCTTTTTAGCACTGAATAATATCTCAGTGTATGGATGTACCACAGTTTGTCCACCCATTCTCCATTTGATGTACATTGGAATTGTTTCTAGTTTAGGACTATTATGAAAAAGGCCACTATAAACATTCATGAACAAATCTTCATAAGACAGATGTTTTCACTTTTCTGGGGCAAGTGCCTAGGCGTGAGTTTGTCAGATCACAGAGTCTGTGTATGTTTATCTTTATTTATGAGTTTCCATTGTGTATTCATAAAATGGTTTGGCTTTTTGATATAGAAACCGTCAACAGCAGTGGTATTTCCGATCTCGAAAACCAAGTGTCCCAGATGGAGAAGGCTCTGTCCTTAGGCAGCTTGGAGCCTAACCTTGCGGGAGAAATGATAAACCAAGTCAGCAAACTCCTTCGTTCCCCGCCTGCCATGCTGGCTCCTCTGGCTCAGAGGTACGAATTAGCACACTGAAGTAGTGGTGAGAGGGGACCCTCCATGATAAAGATGCTGCTTAAATGATTAAGTATCTCAAAGTATTTTGCTCCCAAATACCAGGCTCAGAATGACTTCTCAAGTTACTACTCTATATTTTGCTTAGAATGGAGAGACATAGTGGGAGTGCTACATTTAAACTGCCAACCTATCTTTCCAGGTTGCTGAAAGTAGTGGATGACATTGGCTTACAGCTGAATTTTTCAAACAAGACTATAAGTCTAACCTCCCCTTCTTTGGCTCTGGCTGTGATCAGAGTGAATGCTAGTAATTTCAACACAACTACCTTTGCGGCTCAAGACCCTGAAAATCTGCAGGTACATTGTAATTGCTCGTGAAAGAAACATTTTGCTGTTGTAGGATTGTAGTCCCTGTTGTACTTCATGATTGAGGCAATTATTGCTTATAGTCAGGAGTGATATTCAAAATATTTAACGTCTAGAACAGTGAAGCACCACAGAATAAAAAAAGATGCACGTCTTGTATGGAGCAGGATGTCAGAGGCTCCTGTTGCGCCCTGTGTTAACCCTCTAGCAGCTGGATTTTGGAAGCTCGGATAGGAGGGGTCCAGGGGAGAGTCCCGGGCAATTGAGAAAACTAGGCAGAGACATCAGCTACATATCAACCCATTTCAAAACTGTAACAAGAGTTAGAACTACACAGTTATGTATAGTGGTTCTGAATAACAGTCCTGTTTCTAGTGTTTTACTGTCCACCTATAAGAAGGATTGAGGGCTGGAAACACCCAAGTAAAATCAAGTCTTGGTTTTTAATTTTCACAGTCTTCCCTTTACAAAAGTAATGCATGTCGGTCTCTGAAGACTTTACCCTAACTGATCACTAACTTGGTGTGTCGCTGCTGTGGTCTCCCTAGGGTCTGCAGTCAGCTTGCACTTTTTGACTACTTCTGTGTATCCTTTAAATGGTCCCTTTCCTACTTGAAGGCCTCAGCCACATCCTATTTCTTTATTTAGAGTCAGAGTCTTACTCTGTCACCCAGTCTGGAGTGCAGTGGCATAATCATGGCTCACTGCAGCCTCAACCTTCTGGGCTTAGGTGATCCTTCCATCTCAGCCTCCTGAGTAGCTGGAACTACAGGCATGCACCACCATGTCTGATGGATTGATTTTTTATTTTTGTAGAGATTAGGTCTCACTATGTTGCCCAGGCTGGTCTCGAATTCCTGGGCTCAAGCAATCCTCCCACCTCGGCCTCCCAAAGTGCAGGGATTACAGGCATGAGGCACTGCATCTGGCCCCACTGTTTAACTTAGTAGTAACCAGAGAAACTAAAGCATGTACAGATAGTGCAGATCAAGCCTTTACAAGACCCTTCGTTGTAATTATTTGTGTTTTTCCATCTCCTCATTATACTAGTCCAGACCTTTTTATTATTTTTCACTTGATTTTCAGGTTTCTCTAGAAACTCAAGCTCCTGAGAATAGTATTGGCATTATCACTCTTCCTTCATCACTGATGAGTAATTTACCAGCTAATGATGTGGAGCTGGCTTCCAGGGTTCAGTTCAACTTTTTTGAAACACCTGCCCTGTTTCAGGTAAAGTTACTGCTCACAGCTTTTGGTCTGGGTTTTATTTGGAAATAGGGGAATTTTATTTCCTTTGGTCCACGAATATTCTTAGGATCGCTATAAGTCAAAGAATTGCTGAAACGCTGCAGCTCATTTTTAAGCACAGCCTAACGATGCTGGTGAAGATAAATAACAATAACAGACACCTATACAGTATTTACCAATTGCCAAGCAGTATTCTAAGCATTTACAAATGTTAACTCTAATCCTCTCAGCAACCCTGTGAGGAAGGAACTATTATTATCCCATTTTACAGATGAGGCAATGGAGGCACAGAGAGGTTAAGTGACTTACTTTGGAACACACAGCTTCAATGGCTTTAAAGATTCATGAGTTCCTGTTGTGTCCATCTATACAATTTAACTCGGCATTTAGAGTTAATATACTGTTGTATACTGGAACAAGCTCTGCATCTAATTGTGGTCCTTTGGGAAAGTCACTTTACTTCTTGAACCTTAATTTCTGGCCAGTTTTGTAAAATAAAGTGTGAACTAAATAATCCTTAGCTTTTCTCCTAGCTCTAAAGCTGTCTGATAATATTTCATTTTCCCTTGCATCTTGCTGATTCCTTGGTGTGCTAGGACCCTTCCCTGGAGAACCTCTCTCTGATCAGTTACGTCATATCATCAAGTGTTGCGAACCTGACCGTCAGGAAATTGACAAGAAACGTGACAGTCTCATTAAAGCACATCAACTCGAGCCAGGTGGGGAGCGGCCAGTCTGGTCAGTTTATTGACAAGAACACCTCATATAAACTATGTTTGTAGGACATGACCAGAAAAAGGCAGATCCAGCAGAAAGAACCTTTGACTCACTTGGAGCAATACAACTAGAATCATGTGGTCACTCTGTTGGTCCTAACATGCTTAATAGTTTTTATTTCTCAAAATGTATTTTTTATTTTTATTTTTATTTTTTAGAGATAGGGTCTTGCTCTGTCACCCAGGCTGGAGTGCAGTGGTGCCACCATGGCTCACTGCAGCCCTGAACGCCTAGGCTCAAGTGATTATCCTGCGTTGGCCTCCCAAGTTGCTAAGACTACAGGCACATGTCACCATTCCTGGCTAATTTTTAAAAAAAATTTTAAAGGTTTAAAAATAATTTTTTTTGTAGAGACAGAGGATCACTATGTTGCCTAAGATGGTCTTGAACTCCTGGCCTCAAATGATCCCACTGCCTTGGCCTCCATGAGCCACTGTGCCCGGCCTATGCTTAATAATTGACCACCTAATTTCCAGAAAGAATCAGCACAAAAACACGCTCTTATCAACTGCTGAATTTCAGTGTGTGTATATCTGTGGCTACAGTCTGATTCTCATCTCCAAAGAGAGAACATCTCTCAGCTCAGTTCAAGTTGAGCATCATTTATGACCTTGTTACTCACATTGTGGTCTGTAGACCCAAAGCGTCAGCATCACCTGGGAGTTTACTAGAAATGCAAACTCTCAGGTCCCACCCCAGATACACTGAATCAGAATATGCATTTTAACAGGTCCCAAGGCAATTCCTATACAGAAATATATAAGGCTTACTTGCTTCTAGGGACCATGTAAAATAAAAACTCTCCAAAAATCAAGCCTAACATTCTAAACTTAAAAAAAGGACCACAGTTTTATTTTCTAATTGCTTTTCAGTTTTTTTAGTTCAATAAATTAATTATCTGTGATCTGTCTTCTGCAGGATGACTTAACAGTGAGATGTGTATTTTGGGACTTGGGCAGAAATGGTAGGTTCCAGTCATAACCTTTTCAAAGTCTTGAGTTGGCGAGTAGGGAAGGATGGGGAGTCTTTGGTGATGTGGCCTTGCTGATGGGACTGATTACTCTTCTCAATGCCAACAGGTGGTAGAGGAGGCTGGTCATCCGATGGCTGCTCCGTCAAAGACAGGAGGCTGAATGAGACCATCTGTACCTGCAGCCACCTTACAAGCTTTGGCGTTCTATTGGTAATATATTTGTGCCATGTGGCCTTAGATTCTGGGTCTGGCGGGTAGCTGGGCATCATGCTACGATATCTAATCTGATGGATGACTTTGACAGTTCAGTCGTTATAATATTGTGGCAAAGTTATATACCAGTGAGATGATAATGATGATAATTCTCCTCTTCCTCCTTCTTCCTCTCCTCCCCTCCCCCTCCTCCCATCCTCCTCCTCCTTCTCTCTTCCTCTTCCTCCTTTCTTTCTTTTTTTTTTTTTTTAAAGTCAGGGTCTTACTCTCACCCACACTGGAATGCAGTGGCATGATCATGATTCACCATAGCCCCAACCTCCTGGGCTCAGGTGATCCTTTAACTTCAGCCTCCTGAGTAGCTGGGACTACAAACATGTGCCATCACACACAGCTAGTTTTTTGTTTTTATTTTTGTAGAGATGAGATCTTGCTATGTTGCCCAGGCTGGTCTCAAACTCTTAGGCTCAAGCAGTCCTTCTGCCTCAGCCTCCTGTGAGTGCTGATATCACAGGCATAAGCCACCATGCTCAGCCAAGATTACTCTTCCAATAAGCAAACACAACTGAAGAAGAAGATTCTTCAGCATGGAAGATATGTATTTTTTTCACATTCTATATTTACATTTAGGTTTTTCTCTTTTAAATAGCTAAGAGGACTAAAGGATTCAGATTAGGATTGGTAACAAAAAGTTGTTCAGGTTGCAGTGCACTTTAAAATTCTGTAAAAAACAACTTTTACATAAATGATCTTATTTAATCTTCCCAACCTATCTTCCCTACAGGATAGATAAATGGGGTATTATTATTGTCATTTGATTAAAATCAGAATAAGACTCATTTGTTAGGTAATTGTCCATAGTCATATAACTAGGAAATGTTAGAGCCACGAGCCAAATTTAACTCTTTAGGCTCCTAGTCTGGTTCTTTTCTAGTGCACTATAATGCAGTGACCAAGTATGTGGGCTTTGGAGTCAGGTAGATCTGAATTTGAATCCTAGCTGTGTGACCTTGAGCAAGTTACTTAACCTTTCTGGGCCTCAGTTTCCTTATCTTTACCTGGTAGTAATAATTGCACCTGGCCGGGCTCAGTGGCTCAGCCTGTAATCCCACACTTTGGGAGACTGAGGCGAGTGGATTGCCTGAGCCTGCAGGTTCGAGACCAGCCTGGGAAACTTGGTGAGACCTCATCTCTACAATAAAAAAATAAAAAATTAGCCACACACCTGTAGTTCTGGCTCCTTGGAAGGCTGAGGCGGAAGGATTGCTGGAGCCCAGCAGGTAGACACAGGGGTGGCTGTGAGTGTGCCACTGCACTCCAGCCTGGGTGATGGAGTGAGACTCCAACTCAAAAATCAATCTCTCTCTATATATACATATATAAATAATTGCACCTACCTTGTAGGTTTGTTGAATAGACTATGAACGGGTTCTTAGAACACTCAATACATGTAAATCATAACTCTTTTATTTGCTTAAAATTATTTGATGATTGAAAACAGTATTTTATTTTCCAGGACCTATCTCGGACATCCTTACTGCCTGCACAAATGATGGCTCTGACATTTATCACTTATATTGGTTGTGGGCTTTCATCAATTTTTCTGTCAGTTACTCTTGTAACCTACATAGCCTTTGAGTGAGTATCCACAACTGGAAATTTGGATTACAGGACCCAGTGTTCACCTCCATCACCAACATTTACTAATGAAGCCCTTTCCTCAGCCTGCCTTGTCCTGTACACCCACCCACCCAGTAGAGCACCTATGTGTCAACTTTATGGGGCTTTTTGGTTTACATGCTTGCTTGCTTCTTCCCACTAATCTGAGCTCACTGAAGGCAGGTGGTGTGTCATACTCATCTTTATACTCCAGAATGATGTCTAGTAGTAGGCATTAAGTATGAAATGAAAGATGGATGTAGATTTTGAAATCCAAGAACTTACAATCTGAAATAGACCATAGCACTATGTACAGCTTAAGAAATATGTTTAATAAATTAAGCTTCTAAGTTATACTGAGCAAACATGGAAGATTAACAACATTAACTGGTATGAAGATGAAAAAGAATAAGGGTGTAAAACCCCCAATGGAAATAACTGATACTCGGTGAGTGTAGCTTTGTCACAAGAATGACATTCCAAATGACATTTATTTCCTTCTTGGCTTACCAGAAGGGTCCCTTTAGTCACTTTTTGGGGGAATTCCAATAAATCCTATTAGAGAAAGAAGTATATAGGCATTATTATATTAGCTAAATGAAACAATATGTAGATTCTGGGATTTAGATTTTGGACACTGCTCAGGAAATGTACAAGTTTATTTTGAGTGCCAAACTTAGGGTCCAGCTGTGACTACAGATCTTCTAGTGGACTTTAGAAATATTATTAGTGAGACTAAATTGCCATAAGGCCAGCCATTACTCAGAATGATTTCACCAGATCTAATTTTGTACACATAAACATGTACATGTCATCAATTAGCTGTATTTTCCTATGCCATTACATTTAGCTATAGTTTAAACTCTTATTTCTATGATCTCATTTTAAATAATAACATATGATAATATGGGAATCTGACTATATTTTGAGGATGTGAATATATCAGCCTATCATGAAAAATAGCAGCAATGCTTTGGAGGTAGTTTTGGAGAAATAGGGTGGGTGCTCAGTAGAATCTATTACAAACTATTTAAAAGTATGGGTTAACAGTCAGCATAAAAAAGGTCCCACAGAAATATAGACACAAACTTTCCATATGGTTATCACAGATGATTCTGAGTAGATTTCTCCTTTGTTGTTGTTGGTTTTAATGCCTCCTCCCATACACATACACACTCAGAGAGGAAATTTATGCATGTAGACATTTACCAAAGAATAAAAATAAATTGCTTAGAACTCAAATGCAGCCTGACAAATATGCTTATTTAAGGGTTTACAGAATGCAATGCTAATTCTTTCCTTCTCTTTTCCTTTTAGAAAGATCCGGAGGGATTACCCTTCCAAAATCCTTATCCAGTTGTGTGCTGCTCTGCTCCTGCTAAACTTAGTCTTCCTACTGGACTCATGGATTGCTCTGTATAAGACGCGAGGCCTCTGCATCTCAGTGGCTGTATTTCTTCATTATTTTCTCTTGGTCTCATTCACATGGATGGGCCTGGAAGCGTTCCATATGTACCTGGCCCTTGTCAAAGTGTTTAATACTTACATCCGAAAATACATCCTTAAATTTTGCATTGTTGGTTGGGGTATGTATAAGTTTGCCTGCACATTGCCTGGACTCTCTCTGTTTTTTCTCTAGTGTTTTGATTTTGAATCAGGTAGAGACACTGATGAAGCAGATCACATTTGACAAGTAAAAACAGCTTTATACTCTTACATGTGCACTGCCCAAAGAGCAACCCTATCTTATCCCTCTCTAGAACACCCATATATCTCCTCTGGATTTTTTATGAATGTAAAACTCTTTGGGGTTGGACCATGAATCCTCTTTGTAGCTCTAGGAACTAGAATCAGGGCTCACACAGAAGATGCCAGAAAGTGCTCAATAAATTGAAAATGTTAACTTGGTGGTAATGAGGCCAAACTCTCAGTCCCTGAGCTCCCAGCTTCCCTCACTGTATTTTGTACATCCCAGATATCAGACATATGTATGAGAGAAAATACTTTTAAAACCTGATGGAACTTTATTATCATAGTGGCACAGTATTTCACATTATGCAACTTGTTGGTGGAAGGTCACAAAACCTTAGATTCTCCAAAGATCTTGAAGTTTTCTTCATTCAGCTCCCCACCATTGGGGAGCATCCTCAACTTGACCAGACTTATCCTTGATTAAAGATAACCTAACCTCTGCTTGAATACTTCTATTATTTGGGAGCTCATTACTTTACAAGGCAGCCAATAAGCATTTCCTAGAGGTCTATAGTTCTGGCCAGGTGTGGTAGCTTATGCCTGCAATCCCAGTGTTTGGGAGGTTGAGGATGGAGGAGCACTTGAGTCTAGGAGTTCAAGACCAGCCTGGACAACACAGCAAGACCCCATCTCTTAAAAAAAAAAAAAAAGCTCTACAGTTCTGTTTTTCCATTAAGCCCAGTTGGCTCCCTGGTGGCACTTAATAGTAACCTTGATTTTGCTCTCTCATGCAGAAAATATTAAGTCAATACCTCTTCTGCCAGAGAGTCTTTAGATCATCTATAAGTAATATATAACATTATGTGTAATGCCCTATTTTTCAATGTATTTTCACATAAGCAACCACATTGAAGATAAGCCAATGAGGTTAACAAGGCAGTTATTGCCAGCTCCAAGGGAAGGAACTAGTTCCACGTGATGATGTGATTTACCCCCAACTTGGCTAGGAACAGTCAAGCCTGGCTTTTTGATTCCTTATGTGTGTCCCTTCTGCTGTGTTCCAGCCACCATCACCCCCAGACTCTCTCCTCATCTTCAGGCTAAATATTTCCACCCATCACCCCCAGACTCTCTCCTCATCTTCAGGCTAAATATTTTCACCCTGCCCGTCATTAGATCTTAATGAAGAACAATGGAATAACACCTTGTCCCCGCTTGTCCCAGAAAGCTAAGTCACTGCTCCGGATATTGGGCATGGATTCTCTCTTCTTCAGCCTCAACTGCCCCATAAAAACCTCCTGTGAGGCCCTCTATTCTCTCTTTCCCTGCAACCTTAGGGCAACCTTGGAAGCCCTGTCTTGAAGTAGAGTCTTCATTCGCTTAGATCCCTGAATAACCACAAAACCAGAGACTCTTCTGCCCCAACTAACTGGACTGTGCATGAGCAAGAAATTGATCTTTTACTGAGATTTCAAACCTTATCTGGTATAGCAGCTAACATTGCCCCTAACTTCTACATGCCTGGGATGTAAATTTAAGAGTCAGCAACTCCTGGCAAATCTTTCATTATGAAACCAAAAGGCTTCAATTGATTATGTGAAACCCAATAAAGGAGCGAGGATCCTGTCCTAGCTGATTTGGGGGTGGTGACTGCCACTAAGCTAGCTCTCTCATGGGCCTGTGGGCACTTCCACTAAGAGAAGGCACAATGAGAAGGCTCCTCTCAGTTTAAAATGGCTTTTGGCTGGGAAGGAGTCCTTCTCACTGCTCCACACACCATCACTTGCCTGTCCCATGCCACCACCTCACACTCTGCACACAGACTAGCCTGACAGCCAATCTCAAGGGTCTGGTAAATAAAAAACAATTCCTTTCCACAGATCTATTGCAGTGCCTGGTACAATCCCATGTTATTACATTCATTTAATTCCTTTGTATTTGTACTTTCTGGTGACACGGACATATGATAATCCCCCAAGTGAGATACTTTTCTAAAAATAAAATATTGGGGGCCAGGTATAGTGGCTCACACCAGTAATCCTAGTGCTTTGGGGAGCCAAGTGGGGTAGATTGCTTGAGGCCAGGAGTTCGAGACCAGCCTGAGTGGCATAATGAGATCCTGTCTCTACAAAAATGAAATAAATTAGTTGAGTATAGTAGACAAACCTGTGATTTTTAGCTACTCGGGAGGCTGAGGCAGGAGGATTACTTGATTCCAGGAGGTTGAGGCTGAGGTGAGGTATGATCGTGACATGGCATTCTAGCCTGGGCTATAGAGTGAGACCACACACACATACTTGAGATATATATGAGCATTTATATATATTTGAGATACATTTATATATTATCTGATTCCTTATGTATGTCCCTTCTACGTTACAGCCAACATCACCCCCAGATTCCCTCCTCATGTTCTCTACACAACAGGATTGCAAACACTCCAACCACCCTTGTTACCCTGTCTATAATTAGATCTTTATGAACAACAACAGATTAACACCTTTTCTCCACTTATCCCAGAAAGATAAATTGCTATTCTGGATATTGGGCATGAATTCTCTCTTCTTTAGAGAAGGCTAAAAGGTCAGATTCCTTTTTCAAGGACAAGAAGATATATATGCATCTCAAATATATATATATATATCACTTCTGCCCATATCCCATTGGCCCAAATTTGGTCATGTGACCCACACACACCTAGCTGCCCAGGAGGCTGGAAGAATCTAGCCATGTGCCAAAGAGGAAAATAAACCAGTCTGATGAACAGCTAGCTAGTCTCTGCCACAATAGGTAAACAGAATGTGATTTCTAGTCTTCTCACGACCTTTGGTTATAAAGTCTATGTGTGACTGATGTTTCCCATCTTCCAGGGGTACCAGCTGTGATTGTGACCATCGTCCTGACTATATCCCCAGATAACTATGGGCTTGGATCCTATGGAAAATTTCCCAATGGGTCACCAGATGACTTGTGAGTACAAAGCTCTCTGAGGGAATGTTAAGTGAACTGGGAATTCTCCAAGAAACTGAAGATTCTAATCAGCGTATTGACTCTTGCTCTCATCCTAATAAAATCCAGCAATATTTAACAACAGCTTTCATAGTCACATGTAATGAGATAAGCTAGTTGGAAATGCCACACTACTATTTAAGTAATGGATTAGGAGGATCTATTCTGAATATGAAATATGAATTAGGAGGAACTATTTGAAAATATTTTAATGTGTCTAATAAAAATGACATCCCAGTTATATTATATTAATAAAGACTTATGGAATAGAGTTACTAGGACTCACAGGGGTAAAATCCTGAATGTTTACCTAAAAGTCTACTTTTAAACTACTAAGTACCCTAAAATAAACTCCTAGATTCTTTCCCCTAGAGCTATAAGTGGTTGTAGACAGCAATAGTTGTATCCTTTTTCTCTTGTATTTGTATAAAATGTTCAGTAAAACGTTATAGATTCATTGTTTCATTTTGAACTCTAGTTCGTCATTGTAATATGTTTTTCCCTCTTCATCCCCCCACATTCCAGTTGCTGGATCAACAGCAATGCAGTGTTCTATATTACGGTTGTGGGATATTTCTGTGTGATATTTTTGCTGAACGTCAGCATGTTCATTGTGGTCCTGATTCAGCTCTGTCGAATTAAAAAGAAGAAGCAACTGGGAGCCCAGCGTAAAACTAGTATTCAAGACCTCAGGAGTATTGCTGGCCTTACATTTTTACTGGGAATAACATGGGGCTTTGCCTTCTTTGCCTGGGGACCAGTTAATGTCACCTTCATGTATCTCTTTGCCATCTTTAATACCTTACAAGGTAAGTACTACAGCATTAAATACAAACTGAATGATCCCAGTTGAATATAAAAATGGCTACCGAGGGACAAAAAAAATCACCTGTTGGGTACAATGTGCACAGGTGGTAATGAAGGGTACACTCAAAGCCAAGGCTTCTTCACCACTGTATAATGCAACCATCTAACCAAAAACTATGTGTATCCCCTAAAGCTATTAAAATAAAGAAAAAAAATATAGCTACTAAAAGAATACAGGTATTGCAGATTTGAATCATAGATATTGCAGATTTGGTTGCAGACCACCAGAATAAAACAAATATTGCAATACAGTGAGTCACACAAATTTTGGAACTTCCCAGTGCATATAAAGGTTATATCCTAGACTGTAATCTATTAAGTATACAACAGCATTATATCTAAAACAAATGTACATACTTTAATTTAAAAATTAGCGTTATTGCTAAAAAAAAATACCCACACAAAGACACAAAGTGAGCACATGCTGTTGGAAAAATGGCATTGATAGACTTGTTGGACACAGGGTTACCACACCCTTCAATTTGTAAAAAACACAGTGTGATGCAGAGTTACCATTAACCTTCAATTTATTAAAAACCAAAACAAAAACGCAGTGTCCGTAAAGTCCAATAAAATTAGGTATGCTTGTATATGCAAAGTAGCTTATTTAGTGTCTTAAGATATTTTCACTGAAAAGCAGATTTATCTTTAAGAAAGAGTGCTTTGAGATCCTTGGAAGGAAAGTGTTAACTAAAATCAAGAAATGGTACTCTTTTCTTCTTATTCATCATCATCTCCTGGGAAAGACCAAGGAGTCTTTCTGAAAGAGTCACTCTTTCTTCATTTGGTTCCTTTTTTTATTTTTAAAACCTTTTATTGACATACATCAACATGCATATAGAAAAGTACATATGCCATCGATGTCCCTATGAGAGGGCTCACCACTCTGACCTCCTAGGTCGGTGTTTGACTTGGAGACAATGATAGATGAGAAGGCAACAGACAAACCCTAGTAATCTGGCAGCAGTCTTACCCAGGGGCTAATCCTGAGAAGTTCCTGTGACCTGGGGTGTGCAGCAGGAAAGGGGCAGGCTCTGTGTATTACCCTCTGCTTCAGAGCTTCCCATTGGCTCATGAAGCCCAGTGCTGTTGGAACCCTCATCGTTGTATTCTTTAGAGCAGTGTTATGAAACACTTGTCAGTCGTTAATTATTTTTTTTTGAGTTGGAGTCTCACTCTGTCGCCCAGATTGGAGTTCAGTGGCCGCTGCCGGCCACTGCAGTCTCGACCTGCTGGGCTCCGGCAATCCTTCCGCTCAGCCTTCCAAATAGCTGGAACTACAGGCGCGAGCTACCACGCCCGGCTAATTTTTTTTTTTTTTTTTTCCAATTGTAGAGATGAGGTCTCGCCAAGTTGCCCAGGCGGGTCTCGAACCCGCGGGCTCAGGCAATTCAATCACCTCGGCCTCCCAAAGCGCGGGATTACAGGCTAAGCTACCAAGCCTGTCCAGTTATTAATTTTTAATGGAAGTGCTTTGGCATTAAAAGCACAGCAGGCTAATAGGTTTACATTGTGATAACAAAAACTCACTGTCCAAATCCTCTGTTGGAATGCCTTTTAATTGCATTCTCATCTGCTTGTTTTCATCTTTTTCTGTTGCTTTTAGCTCCCATAGGGTCCTCTTATGGTTCCATCAGGCAATAGGTCATTTTGTTGATTTTCAAAGAATTCTCAACCTGGGGTAGAATTCAAATGCCTAATTTAGCTGTTGATTCTTATTTTGTTGTGAAGAAGTCAGCAGACATGCTTCTTTGGTTATGCATGGTTGTTAGTTTTTACCTACAACATGACAGTTCCTAAATTGGTATATCCAGGTGTTGTATACTACATAGTATTAAATATAAAACCAAACACATAAGCAAATTATTTTTAAAGGTCTTAAGAAAAGTTTTATTGGCCAACAATGGCATGCTAAAAGCACTAGCACTTTAACAGGAAAAAATACATATGCCTACATTATTCTAATCATTGACAATGAAAGTAAAATACCTACCCTTACAGGTTTAAAGTGGAAACCAAATCTCCCTCTTTTTCTTCATTTCCCCACAATATCTTCTCATTAGAATATAAATGGATAGAAGGAATGTATTGATTTATATATAAAATGGAACCAACACTAATTCACAGGGTTTTGGGGTTAATTAGAGATATGTATAGGTTCTGATTTGAGCCTCTCTCATGCATGCTGTTTTCTCACCTAATGTAACCAAGGGTGGCCTCCTACGGTAGCCAATGAGCAAAACTGTGCAATATTCACACATCAGCCTCAAGGGTGGGAATGTGTACCCTACCAGAAGCAAACCTGGATATTTTTAAATGAAAGGTTTAGGTGGATAGATTGGGAATTTAACCAGGTGAGGTGGGGAGCAAAGAGAGGCTCAAACTTTACCTGTATGATGACTACTTGCCTACCTAATCCTGAATTGTACCCCACATCTTTAGAATAAAAAAAGAAAAAAAGAAAGTAGATAGTAGAAAACTCAGAATTCATCTATTCATTCAGGAAATATTAATTGACAAAAGCCCTGGAGAGTAGCAGCAGTGGGACTGGGTGGAGAGCCCTGGCTTGCAGTGCTGGGCGCCCAAGTGAGCAGGAGGCAGAGCCCCAGAGCCCCTTCAAGTCTTCAGCTTGCTCTGTATGCCAGGACGTCAGGGGAAAATTTCCTTGAGCAGGTCAGAGGGAGACTGGCAGGTAGAAGAGTATACTGCTGTGGTGCCCCAGGCTTGATGGGGAAGGCCCAACCAAGCAAGGGACACAGCAGTGGCCTGGAGAGGAGAAGAGAAGGAAGGCAGGCGTGGGGGAGGAGATGGCATCCGACCGGACTTGGAAATGGATTCTAAATAGGGAGGCAGGGAGAGGCCGGAGCTAGGTCCCAGCTGCGATCTTGGGTGGATGGCTTGTACTTCCAAGATGGGAAAGGCCAAGGACAGGATGTGAGAGAAGACAGTGAACTTAATTTTGGAAATGTGAAGTTCTCAGATAAAGTTATTTATTCTCTGTTTTACAAAGACTGTAGAAAGGCATCCCCCTATGTCTTTTGATAGCAAGCGTTTCTAGGACTTGGGGTTTGTATTCAATTTGCAAAATTCCATGGACCCACAGCTGCCAAATATTTTATCTTTTACAGAATGTAAGCTTATGACATTCAGGTCTTAGTTGGGAATTTATTGTGTTATGTTTCCCTCCTCCTTCCTTAGGGTTTTTCATATTCATCTTTTACTGTGTAGCAAAAGAAAATGTCAGGAAGCAATGGAGGCGGTATCTTTGTTGTGGAAAGTTACGGCTGGCTGAAAATTCTGGTAAAGATTGACCTTACTTTTTCCCCTCCTCTTAAATCTTGAGGAAAAGATTATATAAATTAAATTTAAATACTGCATGTTTTCACTTATAAGTGGGAGCTAAACAATGTGTACACATGGCCATAGAGAGTAGAGTAATTGACACTGGAGACTCCAAAAGGTGGGAGGGTGGGATGGGAAATTACCTAATAAGTACAATGTTCACTATTTGGGTGACAGGTACACTAAAAGCCCAGACTTCACCACTACACTATATATTCATGTAAAAAAAAACTGCATGTGTACCCCTACATTTATACAATTTTTTAAAAAAACAAAAAAGTTTTTATAAATTAAGATCCAAAGCAGTCATTGCCAAAGGACTATACAGCCGGAAAATGAGTGAACAGAACCTGCTCAACAGGAAATATTGATTGTGAACATTAAGGGAAAAACCTAGTGATTTAAAAAGATAATTATTAGTATCTGGGAATTTTGTGAGCAATAGAATTAATGGGCTGGCTGCTTCTTGAATGAAAGAACTCTAAAGTTTTTAGAGTTCACGAGGGGGACCCAAAAAACCCAGAATTATCTTTTTGAGGGGGTCCCATTGTAGTACACTTGGAATTTATTCCTCCGAATCAAACGTCAACCACAGTCTTTATCTGGAAGTCTTGAGATGGTTGCAGCATGATTTGCAGAAGAAATGTCCCGAGTTGTGGCAAACAGGTGACTGGTTCTTCCACCATGATAGTGCACCTGCCCACACTGCACTGAGTGTTCAGCAGTTTTTGCCCAAAAACAGGAATGACCCCTGTGCCCCACCCACTCTATTCACCCAATCACCCCGAGCAACTTTTTTTTGTTTGCCTGGATGAAAAAAAAGTCCTGAAAGGGAAGCATTCTGCTGGTGTGGAAGAGATGAAACAAAAAAATGGCAGAAGCACTAAAAGGCATCAAAATTGACAAGTTCAAAGACTGTTTTGAGCAATGGAAAAAGCACCTCAATAGGTATATTGCATCAAATGGAGAGTACTTTGAAGGTGACTGAAGTTTAAACATGTAAAAATAAATACACAATCTTTTATAAATAAATTTCAGGGTTTTGGGGTTCCCCTTGTATTTTCTATTGTGCTCATGTTTTTCATTTCCCAAAGTAATTTTTAATATTTACCTTGATTATTTTTTAAAGTCTCAACTCAATCTTTTCTCCACAGTTCCTGGTTGTCAGTTGCTTTATTTGTTAGTAAGCCAGACTTTGTATACAAGCTGTAGCATGCATTTGGCTATTTGATTGTAACATACATTTGATTATTTTGAAGTTATTTTCACATATGCCCTGTTGGGTAGTAGGGCAAATAACTAATTTTTAAGAAAATCAGAAAAATGAAGTATTGTTTGAAAAGCTAGATCCTTTGCAGTGTCTGGGGGGCACAGAAGTCTATACTCAGAAAATGGTGGTACATGTAGTTCAATCATTTCCATGGATTTAATGAACCATTAGCTATTACAACACAGTCAATTTATGTTCTTGCTAAGACAGTATGAGGCTCTGAATTACTCCCTAATTCAGTGATATTTAGAGACAAAATCAAATTAGCTGGGCCTTTAGTTCTAGGAGAACATGGGTTACTTTTAACCAGGCAGTCATTTGAAGAACAAATGTATAGAATCTAAATAAATACCTTTTATCACACCAACTTGTGAAATGGATGATTTCTCTGTAAGACAGTAAAGTGAGAAATCAGTTGCTAGGACTTGTTACACTGTGATCTGTCTCTTGCATTTGAGCTTCAACATACTGCCCTGTTTTTCTGTAATGCTTATTCTGCTGTAGACTGGAGTAAAACTGCTACTAATGGTTTAAAGAAGCAGACTGTAAACCAAGGAGTGTCCAGCTCTTCAAATTCCTTACAGTCAAACAGTAACTCCACTAACTCCACCACACTGCTAGTGAATAATGATTGCTCAGTACACGCAAGCGGGAATGGTATGTATGTTTCAATATAGTATTTCTCAAGCTAGTGTTTATTTTTTTAAGGTAGTTGTATCCTTTAATGGCATTTGGCTAAGCAAAGTGAATAATTACATATATGACTAGTGGATCAAAATGTGGTTCCCTTATAAAAGTTTATTAATCCAAATTTATTTATTTTAGAACAAATACTGGAACAACTATCTTTTTTAAGAGTCAGTTTTTTTATAATAAAGAATTGATGATGACCTAAAAGTTTGAATGATTTAAATCCTCACTTAAGTATTGCCCAAAGACGTCAGTACTGTACTATTTCTGTGAGAGCAGTACCTAAAATAGCTGATAAGACTTTATCAATTTTTGTTACATCTATAATCATATACATCTTCGATACTTTTAAACCTTCCTATTTTTCACTTTTCATGTGTGTTTATCCTTTTCCATAAATATGTCCCCACGATACTTCCAATACTGGAAGATGAACTGTGACCAGTATTGGTGACCATATATGTCATCAATAAATGAACAGATTATTGCTGCTGTGCCTCCTGTACTCATTAATTCTGACATTTCTAGCTAAAACTTCTGTCTCATTTTCTTTCTTTCATAAGACTGGGCTGTTTATTATGCATAAAAGCTTATCTATTTCACCTTCTTTTGCTTCTTAATATGTCATGCATTTTTGTAAAAACTTAAGATCTGCTAGCACACTTTCTGATTCTATGGAGAATTTACCTTTATTCATTGTTTTAGGGCATTAGTTCTTTACATTACTAACTTAATCACATTTGTAAAAAGGTTCATACATCTACCAAATAGTTTTCCATTCAGTCAAAGATGGGAGGTCCTGCTGGTTTGTCTAGACTTTTGAAATACAATCAGATGCCTCAAAATCTAAGTTTCTCAACCTCAGTCTCAGTTGACATTTTGGGCTGGATAATTCATTTTTGTGGAATTGTAGGAGTTTGGCAGGATCCCTGGCCTCTACCCACTAGAACCAGTGGCACCTTGTCCCCAGTTACGACACCCCAAAATGTCCCTAGGTACTGCCAACTGTCCCCTGGAGAGTAAAATTGCCCCCCGTTGAGAATCACTGCTGTAAAAGATAAGAAACAGTCTCCACATGACCTCTTTACTGTTGATACCAGAAGGAAAACTCTGGGCTCTATGTCAAATAGCTGTATCAGGAATGATTCATTGTAGGTAAACAGTTGAGGCAGTGGGAATCAAGGCTGGTTAATAAGCTAGAGAAAGTGAGAAAGCAAGTTGAAAGGAGACAAATCAAAGAAACGAGTTGGGTCATCAAGAAGCCTTAGAATCCCAGTATGTGTCTGGGGCTCTCAATCCACAAACCCAATTTTTCCATATTTTAGAAAGCTCTGAGATGAAACCTCATTTGCCTAGCCCTATCAATATGTTGTCATCCTTTGGGAAATCAGATTTGATGGGAAGCAGCACATTTGGACAGCGTTCGACACAGCTGATTTGACACAACTATTTTTGATGCCTGACAGTGAGGGTGGGGGTATATTTTAAGGCCACCAAAATGGTTAAGTGTTTGATACCACATAATATGCATGTCAGACAAGCATCTCTGACTCCAGTTCTCATCCCAGCATCTAGGACGGGTACAGAATAAAACTGGCAATTTCCAAAAAGAAGCAAGAAGTTTAATGGCTTATTATACTGGGTCAAATTGTTCTTGCACCAAAATGTCCTCAAGGCAAAATGCCTAAATTCGAACAGCTGCCTCAGACAGTCACATGCCTATTTGAGCTGTGCCACAGATGGAGCTGTGTTAACCATATCCATCAGCTAGTTTGCACAAATATTACACATCTCAGCTATGAGCTGCCTTAGAGATTGGAGCACTGGCTGCCTTGTTATTTGCTACCTGGGGACACAAGCTCTCAGTTTGGAAGCAACATCGCATGTTGACTCTATCACTTCTGAGCCATATAACCTTTGGCAGAGCACTTATTTCTGAAACCTTAGTTTCACCATCTGTGAAATGGGGATGATAATGGTACCTACCCATACATAGGGTTATAAATGAGATAATAATTTAAAAGTGCTCAGCACTGTGATTATCATTGTTATATTAGAATTATGTTACAAGCTAACAAATGGGCTTATTATTCAGCTTTCTATATTGTCTCCCAATGGCATATGGTCAGAAGGATGGTGCAAAGCAGCTAAAGCATCCCAGCAGCTGTGCTCCCCTATAATTCAGGGTCTGATCAGGGTGGAGAAGGACCAAGTCCAAACCAACAATTACCTTAGAATGCCCAGCTGCTTCCTGACCTGGATTTCTATGTTGGAATCGGTGATCTCCTCTTGGGATTCCATCCTATCCTGATTTAGTCACAGGGGCTGGTTTAGTCTATGAGAAATGATTTATTGTTGCCATGACTGTGTAGCTGGCTGCTTTGGATTAGGGAAGCACGAACCTTGTAAGGGTACATACAGGGATCTCTGTTAACCTAACCTTCTGGGGATACCAAAATATTACCTTAGATTATACCTGTGCTACTACTTGAAGTCTAATATATGTTCAACCAGAGGTAGAAAATGGGCTTTTTAACATATATTGGTATGCTTCGTATGTTGACCATTTCATTTTTTAAAAACTGCCATAGAGAACTGGTTTCTGAATCAGTCTCCAATTTATTATAATTACTTTGAGTGACCTTAGGGAAGGAATGAAAAATAAATAAAATATGAATATATGTCATAAATATTTTTCAAAAGACATGCTTTGCTTATATTTTAGAATAAAGTGATGTTTAAATTTGATCTTTAATGCTTTTTGTGGATGGATACTTCATACCACCCACTTTGTTTTTCCTTATACAGGAAATGCTTCTACAGAGAGGAATGGGGTTTCTTTCAGTGTTCAGAATGGAGACGTGTGCCTTCATGATTTCACTGGAAAACAGCACACGTTCAATGAGAAAGAAGATTCCTGCAATGGGAAAAGTCGTATGGCTCTCAGAAGGACTTCAAAGCGGGGAAGCTTGCACTTTATTGAGCAAATGTGATTCCTTTTTTCTAAAATCAAAGCATGATGTTTGACCGTGTGAAATGTCCAATTTTACCTTTTACACAATGTGAGATGTATGAAAATCATCTTATTTTACACTCAGCAACCTCTGGAGAAGCATAAGCTAATTGAGGCAATCATTACTATTGGAAGAGGAAACCAAGACATTATACCACGGTTTTTAGACATTTGCAGTGTTTTCTTATCCTTCATTTTAAAAGAAGATTGATTTTAAACAACACTCTAAGACTCCTGTTTTGTTTTTTTTTTAAGTATCTAATTTTTAGCCACATTTTAAAGAGGCTAAGTTATCTTTGAGAACATCATATGAAGCAACTGTTGACTTCAGCCTGTTGGTGAGTTTAGTCGTGCATGCCTTTGTTGTATATAAGCTCAGATCTAGTGACCTACATGTCAAAAATCTTACTTCTACATTTTTTGTATTTATTTTCTACTGTGTAAATTTATTTCTTTGTAGAATCATGGTTGTGTTTTGTTTAACATGATAATTCAGAAAGTCCTTGCTGGTTCAGTGAATTCTAAAGCTTCTTTTGGAGATTATATGGGATGTGAAATACAGAAACTTCACTGAAATCAAGAAATAATGATGCCAGCCAGACTGGGAAAATGTAAGCAGACAGTGCCACAATTGGCTCATACAGTGCCTTTGGAAAAAAAAAAAAAAAAAAAGGTGCTCCCACCAGGCAGACATAGCTCCATGGGCTAATAGTTTGGCAAACAGAATGGAGGTCATATTTTAGCCCCACTCACCCTCTTGAGTACATTCTTGTGCAAGGTACAACCTGTATAGCCAGACACAGTATCTCATACTGATACCCATCCCTTGACTTCATCCACAGTGATCAGATTATGTTTAGCTTTATACTTTGGCCACAGAGAGGAATGGAATTGTAATATAGACCACATGTCAGGAAAATCGTGAATGTATACGAGATACGTACACTGCCATTTCTCAAATCTCCAGAGCCTTTCAGAAGAGGGGAGTAAAAGTAAAATTTCTTTTTAAAAGAGAGAGAGATATATATATAAAGGGAAAAAATCATATTGCTGTTCTTTAAAAGGCAACTGCATGGTACGTTGTTGCTATGGCTGGTACATTCTGGCCCAGCCAGAGCTATAATTATTTTTTAAAATGTCTCAAGTCTTGAAGAATGTATTGTGACAAGAGGGAGCAAATATTGGGAACAGGACTGTCCTGCAATGCTATTGTTTCTACATGTATCGAGCCTTGATTGCTCCTAGTTATAGAGGGTCTATCTTGCTTTCCACCTACACCTGCTTGAGTAGTGCCTCAAGTATGTCCTTATTAGGAACATTTCAAAAACCTTTAGTTAAGTCTTTCACTAAGATTCCCTTGCATATATTTCAAGTGAATGTTGTATCCCAGATTAACTATGGTAATAATATAATACATTTCTGTGAGTGCTGATTTGTCTTTGCAATATTTCTTCTCTGATTTATTTAATTGTATTTATATGTTAAAATCAACAAAAATGTTAAAAATCAATGAAATAAATTTGCAGTTACGTTCGTTAAGTTTGTGGCAATCTCTTTCCCTGGTGGCATGGCCTGGAAGTGGTAGGACCTGCCTGATGAAGACAAACACAACAATCACATCTTTTGGGAAACAGCATGCACCCCATAACAGCGAAGTTAGATCAAAGGTTGTTCTGCCTCATGAAATCAGTTTCTGAGTTTTCTTTTTCATTTTCCCATTACTTTCATGATTATCCCTTTACGAATGTTGACATTGGCCTATAGGCAACGTATGAGACCCATTCAGATCCCATCCAAATATCTTCTTCCTCTGCATCAAGCAGAGGAAGTTAAGGACAGGATTTGGGATTTCTGGGTTGCTGGTTGGCATGTGGGAACTATAAACGGGAGTTGGTCTCACCCCCAAAAGAGGTCTCTGAGCAGTCTCTCCTCCCAAGATCTTCAGCTTCCACAAAGATGCTGAGTACTAAATTGATAAAGAAGATGAGAAATAGTCTATATTTGAGGGGATGAAACCTCAGAAACTAATCTCCTGAAGCAGGTTATATAACCAAAGTGTACATAAAAGGATGTCCAATGTCCAATGTCCCTTAGGTCCCGCCCCTCCCCCTTATTTTTCCTGTTGTATTTTGTGTCAGATGTGGTCCTTAAGTCAAATTATCTTGTTTATTTTTCTTACTTCAGACAGATATGAAACAGGACAGACAGAGAATGTTCTTGAGACACATCCTCCCTTGGGGCTTAAAATTGGTCCCACAATCTGAGATTCTATTGTAAGGAGACAGAGGTGGTGCCAATATTAGGAGTCAAGGAGTGGCCAGTATTTAAAGAAGTATTTCCTCAGAACCTTAGAGAACTTTCCCCCCAAACACACTGCAATCATTAATCCCACAAAGGAACTCTTGTTGACTTCAACAAGCAGCATCTTGATGGGTCTCATAAAAAATGATGAAATAGCTTGACTTGGGATACTGGATTATGTCCAACAAGGTCACCTAGGAGGCAGGTCAGTTTGTTGAAGGCCATCTGGACAAAGTTCTAATGTACTGAATGACCAATTCATCAAGTGGACTTGTTTGGTGTCATTTTGTCTCCAGAACAGCGTTTAAGGACTATTTAGTTTGTCTCTGCCTCAGCTCCTCATTGCTGTGGGTGAAGTCTGAAGGACCAAAAAAAAAAAAGAGAGAGAAAGGCTGAGCAGGCACGAGAAGAATACAATCTTAAATGTGATGATTTCTTACTAGTGCAATACATTTTTCTTTTCACCATAGACTCCAAGTACAGCACCAAGAAGTCAGAACAGACAAAAATCAAATTAATATTCTTTTAGAATATATTATTTCAAATATATGTAATAAATATATTCCTCACTGTAAAGAAATCTTATGCATCCTGGTATTTCCTCTCTTTACCTCTCAGTCTCAAGCAAGCTACAGGAAGTTGGAACAGAGACAAATTCAACCTTTTTTTAAAATGTTGTAATAAAAAACAAAATGATGCCTAGTCAACTAAAATTAAGTTGTCATAGAAATAAGTAAATTTGGTGAATTAGTTATTTTCAGCAAACTGATTGAGAATTGATCCCCTCCTCTGGCTCAAAGACGGAGTGCTTTTCTTTAGAGTCAAAGATCTGAACCCTCCAAGAGAAACATGTATTGGTTTCCATCTTGGATGCTGACATGTGACTCTCTGGAAACTGCCTTGCCCGAAGCCCCTGTTGCAGGACAATGGGCAGACCCTCTGGTTGGGGTCAGACAAGTCATATGTGGTGCTACCCCAGGGTCTGGTTCTGGGTTTTCATCTTTATGAAGATGATAAATAGGCTTCAGAAACAAATAATGGTATTTCCTATCATATACCATATCAGATTCTTGACAAATATTTAATAAGTAGCTTGGAGACAGGTTTCTATTGTGTGATAACCAGAGAAAGGTTTCATGGATATGGGAACCAAGATATGGAGGTTTCATATCTCAGGGATATGAGATACTAAGATTGATTAAGATTAATTTTTAAATAACACAGCTTACTAGTCCAAACTGAATCATTAAAACTCACTTGGAAGTTTAAAAACTAAAACCTCTTTCTTGGTTTTAACCCAGAATTTTGAGCTTATTGAAAAATGTAGTTTATAATATGCATTAAAGCACAGACCAAAGCCTAGAAATGTAGACCCACTATGCACCAAAAGGAGTGTATGTATCTATAGCAGAATTATCAAAGAATGAGATCAAGAAATTGAAAATGGTTCTGTACTGGGTGGAAATGCCAGGTAATGAGAAAAGGATATCAGTTATTTCCCTCATGGCTGCAAAGTGGACTCTTGAAAAAGGGTCCAATGGGAACAAAAGTTGTAATGAAAAGAAGCAATGATTTCAGCTTTTAGATATAGAATACATAAAAATTCTAATGAGTACATATTCAGATTCCAAAACAGATTTAATGATAACTTAGTGTCTACTTTTATTCACGCTAGACCATAGTAAATTATTCCTGGAGGAATATCACATGGATTGCTGCATAATTCAGGAGCCAATATTCAGAAAACAAAAAGTTTGGTGCTTTAGCTGAGTGACAAAGTAAAACCATAGATTTACATTCTGGAATATCTAACATGAACTTGGTTGAGAACCAAACATAGGGGTTCCCAGTTAAGCAGGACTAATTTTACTTATGCAATCAACACTAATTTAGCTCAAACTATATGCTCACCACTGTACCAGGCATAGTAAGATACCAAAGACTGTTTCAATGAGTAACTTACAATCCAGTTAGAAATACATGCCTCATCCACATATAAAAACATAAATAACAGCAGGAGGCAATGCATTATTGCCAAATGATGGTGAAAGTAGTTATGATTTATTAAGTACTTTTCTATGAGCCAGGCTTGTGCTAAATGCTTTATATTCACCCTTTTGCTCTTCAGTCACCCTATGAGTTAGGTGCTATTATTATCTCCATTTTATAGACAAGAACACTAAAGTTCAAGTAGCTAAAACAGCATGCCAAAGGTCACAGCATTTGTAAATGGCAGAAATGAAATTTGAACTCAATTTGAACTGACTCCAAGTCCTAAGCTTCTACTCAAGAAGTCGCTATAGGAATTCGGAGAATGGAGAACGCTAATAGGAAGGAGGAGCTGAGCTGGCCAAAGGAAAAGATAGGCTTCATATAGTCAAGGAGGAGGAGGGGCCGAATGGGTCAAGCATACAGTAAACGCATGGAAACCAGCAAAGAGCTTGCTGAAGAAATTATTAGTTTAGCTGTCCAGTGGAATTCATACGTGGGTCAGATTTTGGTGGAGAACGAATACAAGACCGAAGATTGTAAACCATAGGTAATCAGCAACCATGAGAAACTGCAATGAATGCCAAGTTTCAAGCTGTAGACCTGGCCCGGGGAGAAAGAAATGCCCAGGTGGCTAGAGGAAGGGTTGGAGGTGCCAGGGGTGCAGCTGAGGGACGCTGTCCGGGTGTCCCCCTTTCCCTTCCGGGCAGGGTCCCACTACTCGGGTTCCGCTAGGCGGCGGAGAACCGGCTGGGGCAAGCTACGATCTCCGTACGCCGAGGGGTGCCCAGGCGACCGTGGTGAGCGGGCCTCTCTCCTGCCTCGGGTGGGGTGACGCCCGCCCCGAGGACACCCTCATCACCACTTTGGGGCGCTAACTCGTCCCCAGGCAGGAACCGGTTCCTCTCGGCTCCCACTGGCCGCGTCCTCTTTCTTCCTCTTCCCCGGGTCGCCACTCTAAGCGTTCCGCTGTGCGGCGGAGGCGGAGCTAGAGGCGGGGCTGTGAGCTCGTCACAAGGCGGGGAGCGGGGCAGCTTTTTTACCTGTGTCCCTCAGGCAGGGCTCCAAGGGTTCCACTCCGCGGCAGGGCGGGTCCGGGGGGCGGGTCTGGGGCACCGCGGCGGAAGGGCCTATTTCTCCGACCTTGGCTAGGTTGATGGCCAGCCAGGGAAGGAAGGGGCTCAGGGAGGCAACTTAGTCCCCGCCCGGAGCTGGGTTCTCCGCGGCTCCCCCGGGCCTCCCCTTTTATCTTCCCCTCAGGCCGCGACTTGGAGGGTTCCGCTCCGCTGTGGGGTCGTGGCCAGGGGCGTGACCGGGGCGGGGCTGAGTCCGGCCTGGGTGGGCTCCCGGGCAGCTGGGGCCAACGGGCCTGGTTTCTCCCACTCGGCGTCCTCCCCTACCACCTGGAGACAAAGGAGGCAGGGCAGGATTGTCCTTGTCCCACATCCGGAACCCTCGACCCGCGAGAGTCTGAGCCCCGCGGGTCTGGCCAAGGCGGGACCGCCAAAGCGCCAGTCCCCAGTCCCCGCCCCACGCTTCCCAGCCGTGAGAAACTCTGGTTGGCTTCCTTTCTGATCATACTTTGGTTGTATCATTTTGAAAAGTCTCGACCTCCTCCCGCCTGGCCCCATGCCGAGAAATAACTGAGGTTGAGTATTTGGGGACCAGGGCCGCTTGGCAGCCACAGTCCCGACGTCCAGCTCACCACGGCAGGTCGGGCCCCACGGCCCGGGAGCACCGGGGAGATGCGGAGCAGGAGCAATTCCGGGGTCCGCTTGGACGGGTATGCGCGGTTGGTGCAGCAAACCATCCTGTGTTACCAGGTAAGAAGGGACCAATCTGAGGGAACGCTTAGAACTGCCCTCTCGTGTCACTTATTCTGTTTCCCCAGGCCCCTGTCTCCTCTTGTAACCTAAAACCTTGCAGTTGAGGTTTCCTATTTTAATCCAGTCCTTGCTAGCCAGTGATTACCTCCCCATTACCACCTTGTCTTCAAGAGTCAGGGCACCTAATGGCTGCTATGGCCACTCTTCACTGTTTGGCCATTGTTCAGGATCGAAGACAGAATGAGCCCCTCGTTGACTCTGCCTTTTTTTTTTTTTTTTTTTTTGACGAGAGAGAGGTGTGTAGTTTGGACAGAGCACACTGAATGAGAACAGTAGAGGACAGTAAGAAGCTAAGAAGCTCTTGAGATTTATATAGGACTCTGAGTGTGGGACGACAGCTACTGTCCTTCTCATGAATTACTTTGTTAGAGACCCACCTGTGATGACCTTAGGGCCTATCCTTTTTTTTTTTTTTATTAAACATATTTTTTATTTTAAAATTGTGGGGTACAGTTAAGGGTTAGGTATACAAATATGCATCGTTCAGTCACTCAAATCACTCTATAAAAAAGATACCTGCACATGTATGTTTATCGCAGCATTGTTCACAATAGCAAGGGCCTATCCTAGTTGCTATATTACAGATAAGAAAACTTCTAGTCCAGAAAGGTCACTGCATGTAGTAGGGTCAAATCCAAAGGCAGATCTTCTGCTCCCAAGTTCAAGGGGTCCTATGAAGCTGCTCACACCATCTGAGGTATGAATATGTCTTCTGTGTTTTGTACTGCTGGGCTAAAATTGTGTGTGGGTCCATCATGTAAGACCACTGAACTATTTTTATTCCTAGCGAAGACAGCAGCTATGTTTCTTGCCCTCAATCAACAGCAACTATTTTTAGGGCCTTCAGAGTCAAAGAAGGAAGTGGCATTCGAGGGTTAGAGCCTGGCCTGCAGGGAGCCGTGGTAACTCTCAAGCCACTGACAATTTTCCCTTCTTAGCTAATCTTTTACCCTTGTTTCCTCATTCAGGAAGTGTATGTTGTGTACGTGTTATACACAAGGCACTCTACAAAGTGCTGGGCTTATACCGAAGAATAAATGATTGTATTGCAGTGAAATATATGCATAGGGTATAAGTGCAGAGTCCCTTATCTGAAACCCTTGGAGCCAGATGTAGTTGCCAGTCAAGAGTGCTTGGCTTTTAGATAGGTTTATATATATATATATATATATATATTTACATACACACATACACACACACACACACACACACACACATACACATACATACACACATACTCACACGAGGAAGACCCCCCAAAATGGAATTTATTTATTAAAAATTATGTATTCTTACATGTTTAAACTTCAGTCACCTTCAAAATACTCTTCGTTTGATGCAATACACCTATCAAGATGCTTTTTCCCACTGCTCAAAACAGTTTTTGAACTCTTTAAAATTGATGCATTTTAATGCTTCTACTGTTTTGTGTTTCACCTCTTCCATATCAAACGTTTCCCTTTGAGGACTTTTTTTCATCCAGAGAAACAAACAAAAAAGTCACTCGGGGGTGAGATCAGGTGAGTAGGGAGGATGGAGCACGGGGATCATGCCGTTTTTGGTCAAAAACTGCTGAACACTTAATGCATTGTGGGCAGGTGCACTTGTAAATCACCCATCATGAAATGGGCAGATGTGTTGGAAAAATCTCCAAAAAAAATTTCACTGAAGCTGAACACAGCTGCTCACAACAACACTAACTGGTACACTGATGTTGATGGATTCCTATGACACTTACCTGGCAGGGGAAGCCTTTAAGGGGCCCACCCTCTAAAAATTAATTTTGAGGGTTTTTTTTTGGTCCCTATATGTATATATTACAGTCAAATCTGGGCAGTATCCATTAATCAAACATTATTTTCACATCAGGGTATGAATATTCACACTGACTGGGATAAGTAAAGACTGAAATGAATTTCATATTCATTCAAGTCATTCTTTGCCAATGAAAGAGCTTGCTGCATACCTATAAAAACACTTTAGATTTTCAGAGCTTATTGGCTTAGATTGCACATGAAAAATTATGGTCTTTTTTGGCGGGGAGCTTTGAGGAAAGGCCCCTAACCCAGTTTGTGGGGGCAGGAGAGGAGTCCTGGAAGAGATGATGTTCGAGGTGAGAACAAATTAAGGAGTAGGCAGGCAAATGGGTTATATTTTGCCTTCTTCTTTGGCTTCTGTTATAATTACATCTATAATGGGTTTTAAGATACAGTTGAAAAGCCTGTCCCTTTGTGATATAGGGGGCTGTAAGATGAGCTGATGAAGCTTGATTCGTTTGTCAGACCTGGGTTTGAATCCCCAGCTCTGCCTTGAATGATGTGTATAACCTTTACTCATCCTTTCTGAGTCCATGCCCTCATCTGTAAAGTGGGGATAATAACACCCACTTCCATCAAGTGTTTATAAAGAAAACTTAGTACCTAACACATTGCCTTGCACCTAGAGAGCAATCAGGAAATAATGGGTGCTCTTGGTGGTGTTATGACTTTGATCTAGGCCACACGTTAGTACCCAGACCTAATGGTTCTTGCATGATGACTCTGGCCCATCATGTTCCCTTTCCTGAAGGCCTTGATACAGCTACTAATTGCTTGTTACCTTGGTAGAGATCTACCTGTATGGACCTTTGGGCTTACTCTAGTTGCTATTTGACAGATAAGAAAACTGCTAGGCCAGGAGGGTCACTCCATGTATCAAGGTCAGACCCAAAGGCAGATCTTCTGCTCCCAAGTTCAGAGGGTTCTATGAAGCTGGTCCTTGACATAATTATGTCTCCCCATTGATGCAATGAGATCCTAAGTACAGTGACCTCATCAGTTTCTCTCCTTTGCATCAAGCAGTGCCCTGGGCTCATGAAAGGTACTCTTAAGTCCTTGCTGATAAAATACTTCTGTAGGGTTAGAGCCATCCTAGTGACCCAGCTATTGGTTCAGGCTTGCTTTCCCTCAGGAGCAAAACAACTATCTTCTCATTAAAGTAAATCTGCAGGGCTGGACTTTCCTCCCCAACATTTTAATGATTAAAAAAAAGTTGTCTGAGCCTTTAGTTGTATTTATTTTGGGGGTAGTTGGTGAGAAGACCTCGTGTTTGCCCTCTCTTTCTCTTCCTGGCTGCTTCACCAAGCTCTTCTGCCTAACCAGAACACTCCAAACACGGTTCTGCTAAGAAATCCCATGAGTCCACAAGTGTAGAATTGCACCCATTCACCCCAACACTAGTGTTCACGGTTATAGAGCCTAACCTATTCAGGGGTGCATCATCTTCTCTGAGTGATCTTAGGCAGATCACCTAACCACTCTGGAAAAATGAATAAGCAATTTTATGTTATGTATATTTTACCACATAAAAAAATGAATGAACTAGACTAATGATTTCTAAAGTTTATGCTGTATCTCCCCACCTTCTCCTGTGGATATGTGCAAATGTTTATGAGATGTTTTTCAGTGCCAGCTGATATGGCTCTGGACTCTAATTTGTTTTTTTAAAATTATTGTTTAAACTTTATTTTATTATAAATATGTGGGGTACAAGTAAGGATTAGGTACATAAATAGTCTACATGCAGGTGAAGTTTGGGCCTCTAACTGGTCCTCGCTTCCCCTGGTTTAGGATCAAGGTACTCTTAATGATGTTATGTGCCTCCCCTCCCTTGCTGATCCCTGTCTTGTAGTATTGTGATAAATGTTCAGGACCCATTTATGAGTGAAAACATGTTCTTTATTTCTGTGATAGATCACTGAGTATAATGGACTCTAAATCCATCTTAAATTGAGATCAACTTACATTGGTTTCATTTGTTAGAAATTATTCCATGTTAAATATATCAAGCTAGTCATCATTCTTGTTAGAGGCAATAGGCAATTGTTTGTTCATATCAGCTAACATTTTAGCTAATTCCTTTGCCTCTATCTGTGAAAGAAAAGAATTTTTCCCATTAGTCGTGTGTCAAATATACTTGCAGCTAAATATTATTTGAATCTTTAAAGCAAAGAAAGAGCTATGTTTATAAAAGGGTCCTTTTGCAAGTTTGATTTTGTAAATATATCTTCTGGGAGTATCTTTAAAAGTTTGTGAACTTAGCCGGGCTCAGTGGCTCAGCCTGTAATCCCGCGCATTTGGGAGGCTGAGGTGAGTGGATTGCCTGAGCCCGCGGGTTTGAGACCTGCCTGGGCAGCGAGACCTCATCTTTACAATAAAATCAAAAAATCAGCCGGGCGTGGTAGCGCATGCCTGTAATTCCACCTACTCAGAAGGCTGAGGCGGAAGGATCGCTGGAGCCCAGCAGGCGAGGCTGCGGTGGCCGGGAGCGGCCACTGCACTCCAGTCTGGGCGACAGAGTGAGACTCCAACTCAAAAAAAAAAAAAAAAAAGTTTGTGAACTTAAAGAAAGACATTTTTAGATTATGTTGACTCGGATGAGAAATACTAACTTTGTACGTTTCACTAGCAGCTCTGTTGGAAGGTTCATTAATAAAAGTGTTAAGTATGAAGTGGTGATAAGAAAGTATGGATCAGAAAGAAAAATGATCAAGGCAGTGTTTGCTAGTAATTCCAGATAATTTGGTATAATAAGCAAATAATTCAGAGACCAGGGTAGTAATTAATATTGCTACTTAATGGCAATAGAATTAAAATGAAAAGAATGGAATACATAAAACATGGAGTTTGGAGAAAATAGCAACAGTAATAAAGAGGAACTTAAGGGAACATTAAAAAAGACATACTTAAGTACTGGAAAATAATAATATGGCAGAAGAATAGGAAGAGACTGGAGGTAAAGCATTCTAAGATCTTGATTACATTGAGAAGAAGGATAAAGTTATTGTTATACTTAAGTCAAGAGTTTGTGTCTAAACATTACCATTAATATACTATAAACAATATATGGCTTTAAAAATAGAGAAATAAAGAAATTTTGATCACTCAGAGGCAAAAGGG